GTTACATTGTACAGTAACATTAAATGCCGTAATGTGCACCTCTGCCTTCCCCATCGTGGATAAAAGGCGTGATGTTATGTTATGTTTTCTATAACACATGGGAACTAAAAATTAGCTGAGTAGGAGACCAACAATGGTCAACCATTGCAAATAAAAAGAATAAAAATAAGGAAATACCAGCACTTACATCTTGAGAAGTAAAAATAACAATCTCGGGTAGATTTCTCATGCCTTTCGTCTTGATTTCTGGGAACGCCTTGTACCGGGCCGCCACAAGCCCGTACATCATGGAAACGCTACCTCCAGGGCTGAAGATCCCATCTCCATTGGGAATGCCGAAGACTTTGAGGATGTGGTTCAGAAGTTTTAGTTCTATCAGAGTGAAAACTGGACCCACTTCGAAAGTATACCTGGAAATATGGATAGCTAATAAGAGATATAATGTGACTGTTAGAAAATTTTATTTAATTAGTCTCAATTGCAAGTAAATATTAAGTTTATATCTTATCTTAGACTGGAGGTACAATGTGATAATAGTTCTTTACCTATGCGATTGCTATTATTGCAAAGAAATATATTCAGCTTAGGTTTCTATGTGATTAGGTGTTGTAGTTTTAGTAACGTTAAACAGGTTGTGAACATTTTCACTAATAATTAAGTAGGTAAATACCATCTTTTACTATTACATGAAGCTAAAAGTTTATATAGCTTTTGCCCGCGACTACGTACGCGTAATGCCGTTTTCTACCGTTCCCCTAGGATTTTCAGGATCTTTTTCTGTCATTAGAACTTCTCTTGACAATAACAAACATAAATAAAATAGTGAAGTCGGTCCAATCGTTCATGCGTGATAGCGTGACCAAGAAATATAGGGATTCATTTTTATATACATGGATAGTATAAAACATCACGCTACGATCAACAGGAGCAGAGCGGGTGAAACCACTCGGAAGTAGCTAGTATATAATATGAATTAACAAATCGGAAACTGCATTCCTGACCCAAATGTACCGCAGTTAAGTATCAACCAAGTTTACCTTTAGCCAGTCTCTTAGCATATAGTTGTGAAATAGAAACGTACGCTTCGAGGTGAGAGGTGATTGACTGCTAACCCCGCATTAAAAACACATTAAAAACACTAAGGGCCTGTTTTACAGTGCTTAGATAATCATTTTGTACCTACCATTTGAATAATCTGAATGTAGAAAGTAAAGCAAGAAGAAATGTATAATCATGTACGCAGTACCAAACCAATAGCAAGCAGATCAACTTGCTAGATGCAACTTGCTATTTAGATTATCTAGCAAATTCTCATCATCTCTCATTAGCGTGTTGTTTCGTTTCGTGATAGGAAGCAAATGGCGTCGCCCATGGACGCTTGAAATACCAGATGAGTTTTAGGTGTGTTGCCAGTTTTTTGGGGGATTTAAATTGGGGACATTAGGAAAGTGGAACCAGTTTTCTTTAACTGCTAAAAGTTAAATCTCCCGCCTTGGGTTAGGCGAGAGGGAGTGTCATTACTTACGAAAATCCACCCCATTCCTACCCCTGCTCTTCGAGCCGGAGCCCCGACAACCCATTATGCTTGCCGCGGCTCCGTATCGGTATCAGCCCCGCTGGGCCCCATCGTTGTGGTCTGAAGGCTCACAGAGAAAGATGTGGGTACTTACTGACTAGTATTACAAGCCTCTGCAAGCCAGGCTCCAGCCAGCCCATAAGGATCCGTGGCACAGAACAGCTGGTTCTTGAACGTAGCCTTGTGTGTCTTCACGCTGTACTTCAGCACCTCGCGGACGCACACCTCCAGTTCTTTGTCATTTACGCCTTCTTTCACATCCAAATTCAGTATTGCCTGAAAGTGATATTAAGTGTGACATAAGATTACGTTGTTTTAATGTATCAAGGCTTTTGACTACGTATTGGACTTCGGAAGCACAAGATAAGATTTGATTTTTACAATAGGGTAGATGACTAATTTTTATTTTAATGTCCGTCTGGTAGATTATTTAAAAACATTAGATACGTATTTTTTTTTTCTTACGGAAACGAATAGTTGAAATGTCGCGTGACGTCACTTCTATGTACATTTTATACGTAGAAATGACGTTTTAGCCCCCACTTCTAAACTTTGATTCGTTATATCTAAGTATCATTTTATTATACAACAAAATAAAAAAATACGTGTCTAATATTTTTACATTACCTACCTGACGGACTAATTACATTTTTAATTTTCATACCCTGTCATCATCCCTATTCTAGCAGGATTTCGAAGGAGAAAAGACTTAAACTCTTCTCCTTAGAAGAAAAGTTTCTACCATTTACGATGAGATCCAATTCCTTAGTTCTGTTCTGATTATGTAATTATATCAGACTCTTACTGACTAAACACCACTCCATTCGGCTTCTTTTCTAGTCTATAAGATGAGGTGAGATCCTTCTCACCTCACCCAGGATGGAAGGAGACATTTGGTGATTTGTTTTTCTATTTATATATTTGATGGACCGACATTTGACCAATATCTCGCCTTGTGGTAAACGATGATGCGGTCTATGATACATGGACGTAATACGTGGTACATAAGCAACATATTCACTCGATGATGATGTTCCCCCTCAAAACTAAGGGAGTACCTAATAAGCACAAATGAGAGAGGTAGAGAAAGATCTTTATTCACCTATTAACGTCCACTAACCGATAACAATAATAAAGTACTTAAACTGTCAAACACCAAGCGGTCACCGGTGACCGCAACCTATTGTTCTATAATTGTGTCTACAAAACCGGTACTCGACGAGTTAAATACGTATAGGAAAAACAGTCCATTGAAATGTTAAAATTTAAGGATCGAGTATTGGATTTTTTGAGGGCGCAACAGAAAGATTATAAAAAGACCCTGATAAATTAGACATAGATGGCAGCTGAGGGGCAAGGGTGACAAGTGACGACCCCATAAACTCAAGGTTAAGCCTCTATAGACACCCCCACACAAATCCTAAAAATAAAAGAGCAACCTCTAAATACAAAGCTCATGTGACATTTCAAAACTTACAATGAACTAAAAGTTCCTACCTACAAGTAATTTAACAATCACCGAGAGTAAATATACCGGTGATGACGCCAATGGAATGGAAAGCACCACTCAAAAGAATTTGGTTTTTTCTACAAGGATTAGAAATAGAAATACCAAAGCACTTTTTGAACCTAAAACCTTTTAAGCTGTTTACAGCATAGAAGAAACTATAGTCATTGTATGTTCAATAAACGAGTATTTTGTACAGAGAAAAGGCAAATATTATTCTTAGCAGTTTGAAGTAAACTTTAACGAGTGTCTTATCGCTTCTAACGATTTCACAGACGACGTCATACAATTGCATGCTTACGAAGGCTAATCATGCAATTCCAGCTACAATATTAACTAGCAAGAATTCAAGTGAGCTCACCACTAAAACAATTATCACTTTTGAACATTACCTATCCCCAATTGAAACAAGTTATCGTTGACCCAAGTCTCTTTAGAACGTTGTCTTGTGTTGGCAAAATATTTTTTTATGGTTATAGCATTCGTAAGACATAACATCAAATTATACACACGAGGCGATGAGAGTCGCGCAACGCTGTTCATGAATATGAGCCTCAGCGTGGCTTGAAATTAGACGAATTACCGCGTCAAGCTGTTTCAAGAGTACCGTAAAAAAAAATTGCACTTATTATATGTGTTGTGCATACCTATAAATATTTAATTAATCTGCAGATTTATTTGCATCATGTGGAAATTGAACCAGTAACACATTGCGCGTCTATGTAGCAGTTGAATTGATTAATTTAAAGTATAACTTAATTAAGTAATTTTCGCTTTAATATAATTTCTAAGTACTAATAAACTTGAGAAGGTTGCTTGCTAGGCAATATCAATATCTTTGTACTACCGCATTTCAATTGAAAGCCTTCAATTTTATATTATTACTTGTAGAACAACATGGGTACCATGTGTATGTCAACTTGTATGTTTGTTAACGCACCCACGACACGGAAGAAAATCCTAGTTTGGGGCATTTGTTTTTTATTTCTATCAATGCCGTTAATATTAAACAATCTTTGCCAATATTCAAATGGTCTTCAGTAGATTTTTTTAATTTCAGAATATGTTTTGAAGCATTAGAATTTAAGTACATTAAGGTTCTTGTGAACGAGTGGACCCAAAGATCAAATATAAAGGTACCTGATTAGGTAATTCATGAACATTATACGACTATTAATAGACATACAACCTCATTCAAAGGACCGAACAATCATAACATTGGAAGGTAGCTTACTAATATAACTACCTATGCATCTACAGGTAGGTAGAGTTAAACAAAATTCACAAGTACCTCCAAATCCTTCGGATGTTTGAACTGTATGAGTGGCACACTTTCAGACCGGTCCTCTTTAACTATATTAAGCACTTTGTCCAAAAACGATGTACCGTTTGCCTCCATCGTATGCGCAAGGAACGACTCAATGCGTGTGCGCAGCCCAATAGAGAGTGACAGACTGAGCCGCCAATAGCCACAATGCAATATAACCAACCATTGCAAGGATCGTAAATCAAACAAAGGTCATATTCGTATGTGATATTTTTATAAGAGATCTTGATCATTACAAGCCCTTTTAATTGTTTACACCGTCTAAGAAATTATGTCAACAGGTCAAAGGCATTGAAATAATAAATAACGGCAATTAAGTGATAGTTCCCCACCGATTGAGGAATACTCACTGTGAATCGCTTCATTATCACTCCAGACAAGTTTAAATTGACGGAATGGTTTGTAAACATTAATTAATGAACAACGAGAATGAAAATAAACTTTGACCACAAGCCATTTATAAATTAAAATATGTAATATGAACTTTTTACACAATTTAAAAGTTACACCAAAAAGTTTTACTTATATCGATTACTAAATATCGATGACATATTATATTGTCAAAAAGTTTACAGTGTTGATGTGTCGTACTGGGTATAATATTGAATATTTTCTCTTGAAGCATAAGTACATTCGAATAAAGCAAGGATCTTCAGCACAACCGACTAGATTGCTGATGACAGTTTATTAAGTATTAAGTGACAACTACATTATCCGGACATCCATCCAAAATTCACGTGCCTACAACAACAAATAAACCACAAAAATGAATTTCCTCAAAAACAAGCCACGGGCCAGACGGAACTCTGCAAGCGTCATGGTGAGCACGGAAAGATGGCGTAACTACAGCCGAAGAATGTCTCGTCGTGGTCACGAAATGTTTGATGATGATGTAGATGAATATGAACCAGCACAACACAAGGAAGTTAAGAACTGGGTAGAGGAACTATTTGAGAGGAAGAGTGATGCAGACGAAATAGAACAAGATATCGAAATACAGCTGACGAAGAAACAAACACTAATACTGTCAACGTTGGTTCCAGATGAAATTCTGTTGATGGACAAGTAAAGTTTATAACGTAATTTGAAAAATGTATCGTAGACATAAAAATAATAACGTAGCATACATATTAGTAGGTACTATTCAATCAGCAGATAATTGTGAATACAGGTAGCTATTTGAACTGATTATACCTATTTACAAAACATGTTTCATATATTTTCAGGTTCGCCACTGTGGATACAAAACGATTTGTTGGCGTGCTCCTCATGGCTGATGTTTCGGGTTACACAGCTTTATCAGAACGATATAATAATACTGGCAAAGGTGGCACTTACAGATTAACTGCTACCCTTAACACATACCTCGGCTCTCTCATAGAGCTCATTTACGGCCACGGTGGCGACATCATAAAGTTCGCGGGTGATGCATTCCTAGCGCTCTGGAAAACTGACAAACGATCATTTCTATCTCACACCATTCACACAGTAATAGCCTGTGCTCTAATTATACAACACTCCTATGCTATTTATGAAACCGACGTGAAAGTTAACTTGAAAGTAAAACTGGCGATATCAGCCGGTAATATCATATTTGCACCCATTGGTACAGGAATAGACATGAGTTATATTATATTTGGCTTACCCGTGATCGAAGCTAAGGCTGCTGAAAGTGTCTGTGCTTCTGGAGAAGTAAAACTTACTCCCACAGCTTGGGGACACTGTTACTCTAGGAACTACGACCATGTAATAAACGAAAACGGATTCGTAACGATAAAATCCATACTGTATGATCCCCATGAAAGTAATGTGACGAAACCCTTTGCAGGTTTTGGAAATTTAATAAGACAAAGTAAAAAACCATTCAGTGCCATCGAAAGTCTTCCAGATTTTATATTAGACTCATCTAAAAGTACAAACGTTACCGATGCTTTACGAAAAACTGAAGCTTTAAGTTTACGCAAAGCTATTCTAGTAGCCGAAGAAAAAAACATTGGATCGGAGATTCGCAAATTTATGATTAGGCCCGTTCTCACTCAGATCGATGCTCACCAACCGCTTGAATACTTGACTGAAATGAGGCAAGTCTCTATTTTATTTGTGACGCTTAAACCCAGAGATTGCTCATTTTCACAGCTGATAACAATTGTCAACAATTCTTATCAAATCACTTGCGAAATTGTATACAAATCGATGGGTTGTGTTAACAAAATTATTCTTTTTGATAAAGACGTAATGATATTAGTTGTATTCGGATTACGGGGTTTCAAACACGAGTCTGAAGCACAGGCTGCATTAAAATGTGCGTACAGTATAAAAAAATCCGTAGCAGCACTCGATGGAGTCCTCGAAGTATCAATTGGCATAACAACTGGACAAGTATACTGTGGTGTTGTTGGACATCCTCTACGAAGAGAATTTACCGTTATTGGTGCTATCGTTAATAAGGCAGCAAGACTAATGTGTGGATTTCGAAACAAAATCTCCTGCGACGAAATGACATTTGTAAAAAGTAAAATGTCCACAAATAGCTTTACACTTCAACCGGCAATAGAATTAAAAGGTATCATTAAACCAGGGAAAATATATGAGTACAGTGAAGAGATAAGAGTTAAAGAATTATATGATATACCAATGATTCCTCCACTTCTCAACCGTAGTGATGAACTTGACTATTTTGAAGCTTGGTTAGAAGACTGTAAATCATCTTGCAGGGATTTTGATGCTCTTTTAATAATTGGAGAATCACGAATCGGAAAGAGCAGAATGTTAGAATGGATGGCACGTTTTGCGAGAAATCAGGGATACCAAGTATGTTATCTAAGCCTAACTTCAATACATTCAGCTACGGCATATTTAGCATTAAGCCAAATAACAAATCAAATGCTTGAACTTAAAGAACCTGTAGAAGGTTTTGCCAAAGAAGAAAAAATAATTCAATTATTAAAAGTCTACTCTGACGACTTATGTTATTTAAATAATATTATAAAAGTGAGATTTGCTTATCACGAAAGAATACATTCATTAGATGAAGTTAAACGTAAAGAAAAAGCGAAAACTATGTTTGAAAAATTAATAAAAGCATTGCCAGACACCATAATCATATTTCTAGATGATTTACAAAACTTGGATTCATTATCATGGGAATTTATATCAATGATGTTCAAGTCAATGAAAATATTTATTGTGTTATCTGTAACGCGCGGTAAGTTTAGCGCTGTGCACAATTGGCTGTATAGCGTGTTTATAAATGATAACATCAGAAAAATGGCTTTAGGACCTTTAGATCCAGAGTGGATTCCTGCTTTGGCATGTCAAATATTAGACGTAGATGGAGTTTCTAATGATTTATGTGATGCTTTGCGAAGTAAATGTAAAGGTATGCCGGGTCTCGTTGAGAGTTTCATAATACATTTATTTTCATCGGGAGCACTTGAAATAAAAAGAATAGCAGACACTGAAATGGAAGAATGGGAAGAAGAAGAAGAATTACAGTTTCCAGAACCTGCACTGCTGCACCCACAAGCATTGGATGGTAACAATCAAGACATTCTCGATAAACTAATAGAAAATGATTTCAAAGGAGATCTAGGTATATGTGTAGTTATCAATAAGGAAGAACTAAATACAAACATAAACGTTCATAATTTGGATACATTTATAATGGTCCAGATTGACTCCCTGACTCCGTATCAACAATTACTGTTGAAAATCGCATCAGTGATCGGTGATGTAATTCCAAGGGATTTGTTGGAAAATATAATGTATGAAAACAATCCGTTGATAACCGCAAAGGCGATAAAAAGACTATTTTGTTTGAGAATACTGTCGTGCGCTAACACAGACTGTATAAATAAATTTGGTCGTAGGGGTACATCGACATTGACTATACTTTCAGGTGTTTCCACTTCCAATCCGAATCTGCTTTGTGATTGCTGTTTTGAATATGATGCAGAAAATGATCAAAATCTACCGAAATATGCTTTTTGCAAATTAATGCGATTCAGAAGTAAAAACTCAAGAAAAACATGCTACGAATTATTGCCGATGAATCAAAAAAAAGAATTTCATACGAGGATTGTTAATTACCTTGAAAATAATAAACAAAAATGTACCAGCTGTGGTGGAACAGTTATGGTCGTTCAATCAATGCTAAGTTTAAATAATGAACCATCTAGGAACAGATACTCATCAGTGGATACCATGTCAAGTCAGTTTGACAAAAGCTTAGAAGATTCACAAGATAGTGATCAAAGTGAATCTTCATCTTCAAATTCACAAACTTCAGACAGTTTGACTAAAACAAAATCAGAAACCGCAACAATCTCAAAAGAAAATTTTAAACCAATTAGGAGATCTAGCGAAATATTAGCAACAAAGACATCGACAGATGGTTCACACTATGACAGAGTCAATTCCATAGTAGCACCTATTTTAAAAGTAAAAAGTAGTACAATTCAGGAAAATTCTGCACCAAAAAACGAAAAAATTGCTAAAAAAGTAACGATGACATATGTTTCTGAACCGGTATTAAGCGATTCCGAAGAATTTGAAAATGATAAGATTTTTGACATGCTTCGTGAGGTCACCGAAGCAGATGATCCAAGTGATTGGCAGAACCTCGGCATAGTCGATAGTCAAGAGAATTTAGACGAAATTGAAAAGAAAAAAAACGGTAACACATTTAGCGTAAAAATAGAAAAAGGTGTATCTGAAATCAATTTCGTTAAGTGTACTTGTACTGAATTAAATATAAGTATTTGTGAACAAATCGTGCACCATGCAGAAAGTGCAGATTTGAAATCAAAAGCTGTTGAATTTCTAATTAAGTACAGTCATTTGAGTGTTCTAAGTAACAACATTGAAAATGTATTTGAAAAACTTGACGATGCCGAAAATCTTTGTCAATCACTTCAAAACATGGATGCATTTGAAAAAAAACGTTTCTTCGGACAAATACATACAATACGAGCAGCCGCTTGCCTATCACTAGGAAAACTTGCTGCGTCTAAGATGGAAACAGAACAAGCTACACAGATTTATAACATAAATTTACACAAAGTTCCTGAATATTTAAAGTTGAAAAATATAACAAAGGCTTTTAAATTTCGCAACCAAAAACACCGTTTACATAAAACAATATTGAAAGCAGATTCTGTGCAATGTTTAAACACAGCAACCTTGTTATATTCGTTGCTTGGTGATGTAAGGGTAGCAAGGATGACAGCACTACGTGCTTTGAATATAGTCCAGACTGTAGAATGTTCTGTAGTAAATGTCTGTGAGACATATTGTAATGCAATCCAAGTAGAAATGGACCGCGGCGCGCCGGAAGCTACAGCAGAAATAGAACAAATGGCAGCCAACTCTTTAAAAGCCCTTCCACGCCCAATTCAAGCTGATGAACTCTTTGCTGTTGGTAAATTATTTATGACAACGTTCCGAGCTCGAATGGCCAGAGGTCAACTGGCGCCAACTATACGATCAGGTTTTCGTGCACTAGCTGTTAGTCGTTTCCTACAAGCTGAAGATATTTCGTTAGAACTGATTCCAGATTTATTTTACATTTTGCTGACTCGTCGACGTATAGAAGAAGCCATCGATATATTGCAATTTGCTTTACGCACAGGACAAGATCACATGTCCTATGAAAGTGAAAATTGGTACCATGCGCTGTGCATAGATTTAATACTGGATGCAGGATTCCAACTCGAGTCACCTCAAGATATAAGCCGATTTGCTGAATATTCAATATGTAGAGGTAAATCAGCGGGACCTAGCCGCCGCCGATTGGTGGTAGGACTTTGGACTTATTGGCTGAGGGCAGATTCAGAGAGAAAAGCAAAACGTTTCGAGAATGAAGCACTCAGCTGGGCGTCTCATGAAGACGATAGTTCAATGGTGAATCTGTTAAGTGCAATGAGACTCGCAGAAGGAATGCTCGAGAGTTTAGCTAGAAAGATGGACGACTTAAGAAAGGTAATTTCTTTATTCAAGTTTTCTTGCCCATTACTAACCGATTTCATTGGGATATCTAAATATCCGAAAACTATTAGGTATGTAGGGACATAATTAATTATCTTCTGTCTTCCATCTAATACTACTTGGATTTTCGTGTGGTGACAGCGGAATAGGATTCATTTCTCACCATTCCTACTAGGACCAGATCGCTCTGTGATAAACAGGGCCGTCTTAGAGTACGCTGGTGTTGAGCACACAAAAATTCGGGGCCCATTTGAAATGTTTCTTTTTTTAACGTTGCCCCGCACTAGTATTTTCTCTTGTATCATGGGAGCATTTACAAACATACAACTTCTTATACACATGACCTCTCAGACCAAAAACAACAATTTGTGGATCACACAGATTTTCTCCATGCAGGAATCGAACCTGCTACACGTGTACAAATTGTTGGCCTTCGGGGCCCCCTGAGGAAGGGCACGGGCCCCGAGTGCCCTTATGGTAAAGACGGTATTGCTGCCCCCAGCCAAGTGTGGGGTTTGTCCTTTGTAGAGTAGGTTCATGGTCCTGCAGCAGACTACCAAGGCGTTTTGATAATAATGATGATTGCTTTCCCTAGGTTGTGGATCTAATGGAGTTACGTTCGGTAGCCGATAGAGAACTAGCTCGATTGGAAAATGATGCTCGCTTACTCCGTGCTGCATTTCCTCGCTGGAGCCTTCTAAAAGCAAACTCATCAATGTTATCAGGCCGGAATATTGTTGCCAATACTTTATTCAGTCAAGTACGTTTTTTAAAATCATGATATGCATACACTAAACTTATCCTGCCTAACTATTTACATAGGCTCTCAATGGTTATCTAACTTGTACAAGATTGAGTACCTTTGCGGTAAGGTTCAATTGAATCTTGCCTTATTGGATACAAATAATATAATATTAGATAACTACACAAAACACTTCATAAGACAAGTAGATAATCTTAGAAAGTTGATTAAAAATACTTACTTGATCCTATACAGGCTTTAGATGAATCAAGAAAAATGAACAATCGACTCGAAGAAGAAATGGTGCGCGCCACTGGTTCAAACTCAGTGTTATGGATACAAAATGCACGCTCTGGGCAATTCGTGCATTGGCGTGAGGGAGTCACATTCGCCCGCTCTTCTTGGCACCAAATAATGTACAGAATCACAACCACCAGACAGTAAAAATAACTGAAATATCAATTAACTAAATACTTTAACTTAAATGTATTTACAAAACCTAAAAAAAAACTATTTTGTCAGTTAATTCGTTGAAACTTCTAAACAATAAATAAGTGTAATAATTGTTACTTTCATTTTTTATTTAAGAAAATAATTGGATCATAAAATAGAAAAACTGTAATAAATTGTTGAACTCAAGAACAAGTTACTACTTATAAGACAGTAGTTCAAACATTAAAAAGTTATTCAGATCTGACATTTCTGACAGATAGATAAGTAGATAAGTACGGTGGCCAGCAGGCAGGTTAATCTATCCTTTTCTGTCAAATGTCTGTATTAGATCTTCAACTTTATCGCATTAAGGTAAAGTCGAAAATCTAATGAATAAATTTGGCAGATTGTAGTAGATAGATCTGCTGCCCACTGTACCTATCTAATTTCAACTATAAGTTCACTTGTGCACTTGTTGTGTTAGTATAATATTGATAAGATGTTATTATCACTAACTTCGAAACTAATTTTTTAACATTAAATGAAGTAGTATATAATTACGTAACATACTAGTTTATCGACCGGACAGTTATACAGCACGAGTAAAAAAAATGAAGGATAATAAAAATTTAGTGTTCACTGGAATAATCGCCAGCTCAAGTTCTTTGAACGATCTTGTTATAAACTCCGGTTACATCGCTGTTCAAGATGGAAAGGTAATGATAGTATTATCTAACTAAATCTCTTTTATAATAAATAATAAATGTTTCATTTAATAAATTGTTACTTAATTATTTTTTTTAGATTACAAAAAAAGGTTCAGCGGAAGAGTTTGATAGACTTGAAAAATCTGGTGAATTTTCAACATTTGAAATAGTAAAGTTGAGTCCGGATCAGTTTATCATACCTGGGTTTATTGACTGCCATACACATGCCCCTCAGTTCCCTAACATTGGATTGGGATTAGATCGCCCACTGCTGGAATGGCTAGCAAAATACACTTTCCATTTGGAAAAAAAATACAGTGACACAGAGTTTGCTGCTAAGGTCTATGACCAAGTCGTTGTGAGTATATTGATAAAGATATTGCGTCATCCTTGAGTAGTAATACTGATTTATAATATTGTAACATTCAAAGCAGTTGTTCATTATGCTTAATTAATACTTAATTGAGTGCATTGTGTCTTATTTAAATGATGTATTGTTTAGTAGCAGCTTATCCATAGGAGCGTTGGAGCAATAAACTCCCAGAAAATAAAAGATTAAAAGAAATTTCACTCAAACAATAATATGCTTTCAAATATTTATTACATCAAAAAACATATTTATTTCTTCATTTTTTTTATTTAAAGGGAGTTTACGGCTTCATTGCTCCTTTGGTACTGTATTTACTATTTAATTTGTTATATCTAGTAACTATTTCGATATCCAAATTAAAATGTGCATAAATGTGTTTCAGCAAAGACTACTCAAAAATGGGACAACAACAGCTTGCTACTTTGGGTCCTTACATGTAGATGGGACATTAGAACTTGTAAAAAGTGCCATTAAACACCAACAGAGGGCACTCATTGGGAAAGTGAGCATGAACAAAGAGAATTTTGCAGGATATTATAATGAAACTAAAAAAGAATTAGAAGAAGTTGAAACATTTATTAAACATGTCATATCTTATCAGGTTTGTAATTTTGACCCTTCAATGTTTATAACTATATATGGAAATAGACTATTGTTTTTCTGCGAAAACTATAACTGTTAAAGTATGGCGATAAATTTATATTTTATTACTTAAGCATTTCATTTTTTATGTGATAAGCTGGTAAACTAGCAAAGCAATATGTGTCACCCATGGATAACCGGAACACAAGTGCGTTACCAGCCTTTTGGGGATTCAGGGATTGGGGAGGGGTAGGACGTAATTGGGCCTCCATTATCCTCACTCACACGACTAAAACCCACGACACGACAAAAAAAAAGGTTTAAATCACCTGCTACTTTCATCTCTGCACTGCTTAAAGGTTGACTGGGAGACAATGCCCAAGGCATTAAGTCCACCTGTACACACTTGTTGTATGAAGTTGAAATAAATAAATAAATAAAACACAATGCAAGCCTTGATTCACGTGGGTTTTCTGATATTGATTCAGATGGAGTGAAAGTATTTTTTTAATTGGTAGTGTTTCTTCTTTGTAGTGGTAATCTTTGGAAAACCCTCAATTTGTAGTGGTAATCTTAACACTTTTCTATATAAGACCAATAGTCATAGGTACATGATTTTGGTTTCGAACTAGCTAAGTAATTGTTATTTTTTAAATTAGTCTTTAGTCTACCTATGTGTCTCTCGAAAACTCAAAATAGTACTTTGTCTAAATTACAGAATGAGCTGGTGGAACCTGTAGTGACTCCAAGATTTGCAGTGAGCTGTGATAAAGAACTTATGGATGGTCTTGGCAACATTGCCAAGAAATATGACTGCAGAATACAGGTATACCTATAGAGAACCTAACGGGTAACCGGGGCTCCGACTCGACGTGCAGGAGAAGGAACGGGGTGGTTTTTAGTCAGTAAGAGTCTGACACTCCCTCCTGCCTCACCTAGGCGGGAGCAGTCATTCGATGATATTCCCCCCTTAACTCGTCGAGTACCGGTTTTGTAGACACAATTATAGAACAATAGGTTGCGGTCACCGGTGACCGCTTGGTGTTTGACAGTTTAAAAAAAGAATACCTATACCTACACAATTATAAATCTTGAAGTCTGTTTTGTTAGGAATGGCAACAAGCAGATAGATGGCATGATGGTAAGCAATCGGCGCCCCCCCAAGGCAACACTAGAGAAGTTACTACGGCATAGCTGGCATTTTGGGAATTAGGAGTTTGATAATTGGGGATTGGGAATGTCTGTTGCGAAGTCTGGATCTGGATCATTCTTTGATGTATTCCTAAGTTCTCCTCTAATGCTACTGCTTAAAATCTTTCGAGATTATTTAATGTCAAAATTTTGATTAATGCCAACATTTTATTCATTTTTCGAATTCACAAACAGAACAAAAAAATAATATTAAGTAATTGTTCTTTATTACAGAGCCACATATCAGAGAACACTTCAGAAATAGACTATGTATTGGAAACTAATCCGAAATGCAAGAGCTATGGTCATGTGTATGACGAAAGCGGAATTCTAACCAACAAGGTAAGCAGTACTAATGCCAAAGAAAAAAATGTTTATGCCCCTGATAGCAAATACTTCTAATATTAAAAATCCGAGAGATTGTTGTAAATGTATGTTTGGAATACTTTGACACAAAATCTACTGGATAGATTTAGAAGGAATTTAGTACAGACAGGTACTTATAGATTATGATTCCCAAGCAAAGGGATTGCGGTTCGTGTTATTTCGCTTTTTGGAACTTTTTTTTACAATTCTTAGAAAGTCTGGTTCTGTTGAATGTAATGACTAGTGAAAAATGGGTGTTACAATTTAAATACGTTATGTGCAATATGCAACTCCGCCTACCACTTAAAAAATTCTAACATCTCATTGCGGTCTAGTATAACTGGTTCTTAAACAACTTACCTTTCTATTTTCTCTTATTTTGTTTGTTCCAGTGTATCATGGCCCATGCAGTACATTTGACGGAAGCTGAACTGACATTGTTGTCCAGTAAGGGAGTGTCCGTGGCTCATTGTCCGGCTTCTAACACACGATTGAAGTCCGGCCTTTGTCCTGTCAGGAAAATTATCAATGCTAACATCACTGTTGGTTTGGGAACAGGTAGATTAAAATCATGTAAATTAAAATCATCAATCATCATTCGATGATTTTCCCCCCTTAAAAAAAAAAAAAAAAAAAAGATTAAAATCATCATCATTTCAGCCCACAGCTGCTTATCCTCTGCTGGGTATAAGTCGCCACACGATAACCTAGTTACGAAGCTAGATTCTACTACACTACGACTACATTGTTTTTAACTTATTCCTTCGTTAACATTAACATAAAATAAAATTAGTAAAAACTAAAGAGGTTTTTCAACCTCTTTAGAACTTTGCTGGACCTGGGAATCTATCTTACTCCTGTAAAATTTAACGTAAAACCTATAAAATCTCTATAGAACTTTCTTAGGGAATCTAACACAGTTCTTGCTCAGTAGTCGCGCAAAGATTAGTGGACTAGTTGCAACAGTCCACCAATCTTTCCACAACAACGGTAAAAAGCAACTGAAACACCAAAATATACTATAAAAACTAACTCACAAGTGAAATGAATATTTTCCTCAGTCAAAACTACATTATTTCAAAGTTTTCAATACAATAAAATTATCAAACATAAGTAACGTATTTCAGTCATTGATTAATGATTTGTATATCGATTATTTTCTAGTTTCAATATTTTACTTAACTCGTCGAGTACCGGTTTTGTAGACACAATTATAGAACAATAGGTTGCGGTCACCGGTGACCGCTTAGTGTTTGACAGTTTAATAATTTACTCTGAATTATAATGACGTCACAAGTCTGTATCTCATACAAAATGCACAGAAAAGTATCGTTGTTGACATTTCCCTATAAGCTTTGAATTGACTACAATAGTGTTTGTTTAATTAATTACCGTATTGTCAGATGTGTCTGGCGGGGACAACGCGTCGATCCTGGATGCTATACGCAGGACTATGGACATCTCCACGTGTTTGGAGATGAGGGGCAACGACAAATATGCCCTCGACTGGAAAGAAGCTTTCTATCTTGCTACATTGGGAGGGGCTAAAGGTACCACTATTATAATTTATCTTAATTATCTACTAATAAGTATTATACATGTGAAAGGTTGTTAATTTGTTTGTTCGTTTGTAACTCAATCACGTCAGAACTACGGAAGGGACCAGCATGAAATTTTGAACAACGATAGATTATGATCTGGAATAATACATAAACTAGGTAATTTTTATTCCACTAGAACGCGGGCGAAGCCGTTAGCAGAAGCTAGTCTACTATAATATCATGAATACTCATACAAAATTGTAGATATTATAATGACATGACCATTGCACCGGGTGTTAGCTCGGGTCGGCTGTTGCTCTAGCATTAAAGGGTCCAAGGTAGACGGGTGGTAGGGACTGTCACTTCTTAAATCATATCCTCCCTATGAAGTAGCCCCCCTTTCCCCCCCCCCCCCCCTATTTTAGGCGGATAGTGCAAGTGAACCGTGAAGGGTCAGTCGGTTCGAGTTAGTCATGCCCACCCCACAGGCACTGGTGACGTAAGTACACCCTGTGGAGAAGACTCCACTATGGTAAATTCAAAAATTACTGAACGGAATTTATTTTGACATCAATATTACTAAATATTTGAATTTTCCACAGCTTTGAACTTGGACCATAAGATCGGCAACTTTGATATCGGTAAAGATTTTGACGCCTTGCTGGTAGACGTATACACAAAGGATGGACAAATCGACAAGTACGAAGGAACTTTACAAAGTACCCCCGAGGAATATGCTCTGGACTTACTACAGAAGTTCATATTCGTAGGTGACGATAGAAATATCGTACAAGTTTATGTTAAGGGAGAAAAAGTGAAAGATGCCTTGTAAATATAATTATATCGCCTTTATATAATCGAATTCTTATATACCAATGTGATAAACTCAAATATTATTATATTTTATATACTATTTTACAATAAACCAAACTACATTGACTTATTTTTTGTTTCATTAAAAATCATCTATATAAATAAAAATGAATTCCCGTTCGTTAGTCTCGCTAAAACTGGAGAACGGCTGAACCGATTTGGCTAATTTTGGTCTTGAAATGTTCGTAGAAGACCAGGGAAGGTTTAAAAGGTGAGAAAAAAGTTTCAGGCGCTACGAAGTTTGCCGGGTCAGCTAGTCAGAAATAAAAGACAATAGTAAATTGTTATATTTTTATTCATGTGTAATTCTTTATAATTTGTGTAGAAAAAATGTGCAAATATAATGTGAAAATACAAACTGAATTTACATAAGCAAATACCGTAATACAATAATACTAAAGGAATTAAATTTATTCCCGTAATTACACTCGAACATAACAATAATATGTTAGCGTAGCCTATAGGCATAGGCCAGCATTGCACGCGCTCACAAGAAAATTGTATTCTCCTAATAAAATAATATTAATCACTTATAAATTTATAAATCGCTAGCAACACTTTAATAATTTTGTTAAAGCTCCGAGATCTGTTATAAATTAATGACAGAAAAATAATACTCAAATGCAACTGGTGTCGTTATATTAAGTCGGTGGAATGATAAGACAATGTATTCGAGGGTTAGTAATAAATTATAACATATAAACAGTCTTATAAAGTCAAAAATAATATACTATCTAAACTTTAGAGCAACTTAAATTAATGTACAATACAAAAATGTTACTAGTATTATTTTAATGTTATAACTTTAAAAAAATGTTAATTTACATAAACAATATAGGACGCACTTGAATGAAGACGAAAAAATATAAGCTAACGTATATAATTTACAAAAATTTCGTTTGTCGTTATTGCTATCACAAGGGGGCAGGTCCCGTTTGACGGCACCGCCATCTGTGTTGTGATTGCAACAACAACAAGTCTCTTGATCTCAAAGTCTATACATTAAACTACGACATTCGTTTATTCTCCTAACGCTAATCAATGAACACAGGAACTTGGACGTGCAAATCCAAAAATGCAAGCCGGGTTATAATATATAGCTTCTGTTTACTATTTGGCAACTACGGGACCACTAGACGATAGTGGCCGCCATTGCTCTATCATTTGAAAACCAGTAACATGTTCGTATACAGCATTGGATGTCGGCAAACGATGCCAATATAGGGAATACTATCGTTGACACAAAATACCTCATTAAGGTATCAAAATGTAAAGATGACAAAAGAAAACGAACAACAAAAAGTACTTCTTAATATGGCCGTGATGTAGCGTAGCAGCGATGTTACCACTAGACGAGCGCTAATACTTATTAATACGTAATTACACAACGAATATAAAATTACTTTGAGCTGCCTTCGATACACAAACATCTACAGTAGCAAACAGGCACTAAACCCGGACACTTGTGTACGATTATATATCAATTACATAACATAACGAAAACTGCTTTCGACCTGCATTGAAACTATTTAACCTAAAACAGTCTTAAATACAATCTTACAAATAAAAGGTACATTTTATAAAAAATAATGTGCGAATCATGTGCATACAATGACACAAGTATATACAATAATTTTTAACAAAAACATTTGATCCATTGCGAGTCTTATCAAATTATAACATTACATTTTAATAGTGACCTATAATTAATGTGAAAATAATTATGATGTAAGGGAGATAATTATATAATAATATATTTAAATGTCAACATAAGTATATAACTAAATGAATTTTCTCATAAGACATCTCTGAACAAACTAGCACCTATGTTAATTTATTAAGATCCAATTGTAGATATTTACAGAGAGTTACAAAACAACCATTATTCAAAAATTCGACAACTGTATAATATGTCATTTTGTACTATTCAATAATAGACAACATTATAATTGCAATGTGTGCAGGTGACTGTATGACAACTATCTTGTGTAGTTTCCAATTGTATTTGTTCGTTAGGAAAGATAAATTTCTATACATAGCTCAGTCTTTTCTATCTGGCTCAAATTTGGCAGACACCTGTATTCAGTTTTCGTAGAGCCAATCATAATTTTGGCATGTCTGGGATGCAGTATTTACTATCTATATCGCGCAATCGTTATACTGAAGTATTTAAGTGTAACTGAGGTAGAAAGAAATGCAAATTGAAAGTAAATAATGTAGTTTGTTAACATTAGTACCGTGAAATTTTAACCGAAAAGTTTTAATTTAGGTAAATAAGAATTATACTAGCTACTATTTATATTCAGGAATGTTTAGTAATATTAATTTGACATTGCCAACACACTTTTGCCTCCAAATACTAAGCTGTGATCCAGGGGCGTAACTATATCTTTCGGGGGCCGTGGCAAATTCATTGTATGGGCCTGTTCCCAATGAAAAACATAGAAGTTCAGATGAAAACTCCTTGCAGCTGGGGGCCAGTCACATTGCCGACTTGCCACCCTGTAGTTACGCCACTACTATGATCATTTCGTTAATACAATAAAGTTTTCTGAAGGTACATTTTAAATGGCACAGGAAAGATGTTTCTATAATCACGTCTCGTATAAACATTTGATCTGTGTACAATGTAATGTGTGATGTTTCACGGCGAACGTAGTTTTATAATTTAGATACACAATATGAACAATTTCCACGTTAAACTCCATGAATATTCGTATAATAAATTTTAGCCACGAACATCAATAACATTTTTATAAAATAGAGAGCATAATAATTTTAGGTTGACATTTAATTCAATCGAATATAGAATTCGAAAAATGACGTGACATTACAATGAATTTCGTTAACGACATACAAATGACAAATGACGGCCTAAAGCGTACAACATCAGCTATAAAAATGTACAAACTTCGTAATCGCACAAACTACGTTCTATCACATATATTTATTTAGTAAATCAGCACAACACCCACATGACTCCACGAAATTATTTATATTAGAAAAAAGTATCGCGCCGGGTCTCGGTCGCGCGCCGTACTACCCTAGCTAGAGGTGGCGAGCCTCAGATAATACTGACTGACAACTCTTCTAACTACTGGGTACCTCTAGTCTTAATATTTTTATAACAATTCCTTACGGTTTTTGATGTACGTCCGTATTACATAATTGCCATATAGGGTTGGCAGTGACACGATTTCATAGAGTTATTGAATCAAACATGTCTGACTTAGGTACATCTGTATCAGTATCAGCACGTGTTGTATGGATAACACACTCGTACATGGAGTAACAAGTAAATGGAGTACTCACCTGTATTTCTCTTCACATCGTTTCGAGAACACAAGCACAGTATCTAATATCAATCATCAGGAGTTTTTATAAAAATATCTACCCGTTGACATTAGAACTTACATTTTGTTACTCCCTACGCACATATTTCAAATATCGTATGCTTACTATATTTCAAGGACTTGATATAATGTTTCAGATATTTTAAAATACACGGGACCAAATGCATCAGTTATTAAATCTAATGTCAACGAACTTGATTGATTCATTAAGTCCTTTTCGCACAAAACTAACTTAACCTTTTTCAACCCTTTCTTGTTTAAAAACTTTGCCAGACAAAAGATCAAACGAACAATCGCGACTTGTAGTTGACATTAGATTTCACAAGGTGTTTATTCGTAGAGTTTCTTTGAAAAACTTTAACTTTTCCTAAACAAATCATTATCCTCCAAGATCTCAAATAATGTATATTCGTCATCAATCATCAGATTTTCGTTTTTAGAACCGAAATGTCAGAATTAATTTTGAAGACAATGAGAGTTATGGTTTCAGTTAAAGTTTTTCGAGAGAACATCAAATGAGTAAAGTGTCGCGTTCGGTCCAGGGCTTGAGTCAGGCGGTCACTTGACGAGGCTGGAGAGTGAGCGGGATTTCAGTGTCGGAGTGTGTGAGCGCGCGGCACGACACGCGCGAGCGCCGAGACCGGCGCCGCGAGCTGCGCCGCTCGCCGCCACCTGCGCACGCGCCGCACTGTACTACACGCACGCGTGCTCCGCGTCATAGCCACGCGGTCTAGCACAATACACGCAAACCTTGCCAGTCTCAGACCACGGTATCAAACAACTTTTACTCATCTTTGAAATTCAAAACAATTAAAATTTTCACAAATTGTGACAATATACATGGAATATATGGATTGATGACTTATCTTGAATTTCCAAGAGTGCAGAGGCTTTAGTAGGAGTTTGTTTAACGTTTAAAGTATTCGAAACGAGTATGCGTTAGTCAGTCTGATTGGTTGGTTCATTGGCGCCGGCCAATCAGAGTGCCGAATGCGTACTCGTTTCGAATACTTTAAACGTAAATGAAATTCATACTAAGGCCTCTGAACGAAATTTGTTCAATATCATGATCCAGTCACCATCAGCAGGTTCCTTGCGTTGTATTCTGCTACACTTTGTATACGTTTCATAGACAACGAAAGCACGCATGTGTCTCTATAACATTAAACTTTCTAATACAAATAGCAAATGAATAAAAACAGTTAGGTAAAATGTTTTCAAATTTTGTCATATACAAACTTATAAGTTATGAAAAAAGAACTGCTCATTCAAATATTAAATAAGTAGCAAAATTTGAAAACACATTTAATAGAAAGCAAAGACTTATTTCCAACCAACTTTTAAACAACTACTCAAATACTAATATAGTAAAAAACCATTAAATACTCCCAGGTTTAAATATAATAATACTAATAAATAGACGTTGCTCTCTCATTGTATGGGTAAGAAGCGTTGACAAGTAATCAGAATGATCTTAGCACATCACAACATAAATATAACACAGTACTGCATTCAATACATGGTATAGGTACAATGAACGTGTAATAAACTTGGCATTGTTCTCGGTGGCAATCCAGTACATTTGTATGGTTCGTGATGGTGTCCAAGCCAGTGCACGTCACAACGAACATACACATGCGCTTTATGAGTCTCGATGATACACTATGTGCTGGCAAAGCTGCGTCAACCATTTATATTCGTCTTTTATTGTTACTACTGTTTTAAACATCAAGGTTCTCCATAACAGCACGACTATTTATAAATTGTATATAATACATATTATATAAAAGATAAATGGAATACAATACAACACTATGTACAAAAGAAGCGGTATCTACATCTGTCTAGACGTAACGTTAATGTAACCATAAATATCTGTATGATGTGTACGAAGAGACAACAAGAAGGGTACAGAACACATAGAGAAGATCATGCGATGCAGTGATGCGTGCGACATGTACGACATCAGTGCGGTGACACATGCGATGCGCCCAAGCGTAAGCCGCACAAAGCGTTCGTATCGCCCTGTGAGTACAAGCCGGAGGCTTTGCTGCTGCCAGGCTGCCACTCCCGCGCCGAAGCGAACGTTGCTAGCTATCCTACATCGTCTCGTACATTTCTAGCTTCTCTAATGACATAGCAAACTTCAATAAGTGTACGTTTCCCATGTTTAACGAGCATTTACCGACTAGATTTCATCAACAGTCTGATGTCGCGAATCTTATAAAAAGACCGCAGTCAACGAGTGACATACGACAGACAACTAGCGACGCTACAGTGACATCGAGCCCGAGCAAAGCCTCCGCGGCAGGTTAGTCCTCTCCGCACCGAAGCGAACGAACACAGTTTCACAGTACCGGTGCGCGAGGTTCAAAACAAAAATTCTAGGCAGGCGACAAGCACGTAGAGAGCCGTGCTCTCCGAGCGAGCCTCCCCGCAGGGCGCGTGGCGACACGCAGGCGCGGGGCCCGGGCGGGCGGGGCCCGCGTCGGGGCTCGGGGCGGGGCCCGGCGGGGCGGACTGCGTACCGGCGCGCGCGCGGGCCGCGTCCAGCGAGGCGGCGGGCTGCAGGAACCACTCCGAGCGAGTGCGCATGCGCGCCCGCTGCCGCTCGTGCACCTACGCAGCGTCCAGCCTCCGTCACGCGCGACCCCGCGCTCACACCGCCCTACTACCACTACCCGCTCCACTGTCTAACTCGAGGGTAACCTCTCGTGTATCTATCGGTTACTCATTATCATTTTTGAATGATCTAGCCGACACTTGAATTCCATGTCTAAAAGACAAGATACTTTTAAATGTATTCAGATTAAGGCAGCCATTATTAGCATGTTTTACTGCCCAAAGGTGTAAATTAAGTTAATCGATGGAATAACTGATTTTAGGTTTCTTACTAAGAAACATATGCCAAATAAGCAGTTCTGATTTAAATTATTTTTTTTAAGATCAATCTATTAAAAACAAATGTTGTGTAAGCGGGGGTCACGACTAGAGGCGGGTGGTTGTATTCGCGAACCGGAGTCGTTTAGCACAATACATTAAAGTCGGCCAACAAATTGTTAATTTCCATCCTTTCCTTATTTAAGAACTTGTTATAAATCTGAGGTTAATTACGATAACATGGAACGAATGTTAATACTTCATTAGTAACTATACTTCTACCGTTAGTCAAAATAATGAATCGAACATTAGCTCGCCCATAGGAACCACAAGGATACCACTACCATTGAAACTGTTATTATTGTTACATTTCAATGAAAGATATTCTGTAATGTTCTTGAATAAGTTGTATAGAAATAATAATAAATAAATATGACACAATCAAACTGTAAGGTGTTCGTTCCCGGTGTCCACACTGCACCATGGAGTGCGCTAGAAGCATCTGTGTGTGTGTGCGTTGCCACACCGAGCTCTTTGGAAGCACATTGTGCCAAACAGTACCCTATCACACGGTGTAACCAGTACATCATAGTATGTATACCAAGAAGAAATATCTAACAACTAACAGATCAGCCACAAGTTGTCCTAAGTTATCAGGAAAACAGACATTATTCATGCAAGAGAATTAAACGTGGACGACTGGCGAATACGATTCTCAAACTAAAAATGTATAAATTACCTTTGCCAATCGGGGAGTGATGAACACCTATATACAGCTACATTGTATAGTTAATATTTCATATAATTCCTACGAAACGTTTGTACTACAATTTTGAATACTTTAGTTGTTAGTTTTTGGCGAGTTGTCCACGTTAGTCAGACAGAACAGGGGAAACAGACTTAGTATCTACAGGTGGATATGGAGAAAAATCTCTTCACCATCACTTAGTCTTATAAAACATGTCCTTCAGTGAGCGCTAGAATTGAAATAATACTTTTTATACATGTTTCTGTTTCAATTTAAATGATACAATGGCGTCCATATATGATTTATTTTGGCGTTGGCAACTTGTAAATGTTTATATTGGCAACACCAAGTCACAGACTCAAACTTTGTTTAATGGCATTAAATTATGGGTTTTTTACATTTTATTATCAGTTCAATTTGATACATATTTATATGGACAAGTAGATTAATTACAGAGATCATTTTCTCAAATAAAAATTGTTTTTTTAAAACACCTTGTTCATATTGTAAGAAATGTTACGATTTATCATAGGCAGAGAGATTTATACATAAATTATGTTTTCAAAAATGATCTCTGTAAATAAAGTTCACATAGATAGAGGTAAGAATAATCAAGAGTCAATTTTGAAAATAGTAATCAATTTAAGGGGTTAGCAGAATATATAGAAATGGTACATTTTTGTATTGTAATGGTTTGGTAACATACCTGGGGTAGGTAGGAGAGGCTTTTAGTGCTCTCTGCGTATTTGTTGATGGCTCGCAACTCCTCGAGAGTCATGTGAGGACTCGAGTTACTGCGTGATGATTGAGATGACGAACTCACTGATACCTGAAATTATTTAAATACGAAATTAAAGAATGAACTTTGGATTTCATTATTATTTCTAACGACGACGTGCAACTTAACTAGATACAAGTTACGCTAGGGACTATGTCAGCTGTGCGACGTTCGCCTCGTAGTGTGTCACGCAATACTGCTCGTGAATATGCCCCTTGAAAACTTGAAACTAGTCGAGCTCCTCAACAAACATGTAAGCCGTTAAACATAATAATTAATTTAGTATATCTCACGAAAGTTGTGATACAAAAAATAATGTTTGATTTTGATATAAAACCAAAAATACACTTGCGAAGGTTTTATTTTAATATACTATTATAATATGACGTGACATAACACCATCTGACCACCAAAACGAAAGGCAGATGTATAATAATTTATTACATTGTGTATTCCCACATCTCTCTGTCAATTATTACTAATAATTGACTTTTAACAAGTTTCGTCAATTCCATCAAGAATCAAGCCCCATTTATAATAGCTTATCTCCATATGGCATAAAGAACTTTTTAAAAATCTTTTTTTTTTTTGTTAAAAATACAAGCTAAACATAAAAATGTACATAATCAAGCAAGTACAAGATTTTTTGCAACATTTTTAACCATAGTCCTACCTACCTCTCTGGAATCTTCCATTATAGTTGATCACACAAGAGTAATACTTCCGAACGCCTTGCTAGTTGCAAACTGATTAACTCCATTATCAAGCTGGCAATTTACTGACCCATTTCTGGCGATAGTGCAACGATATTTCACGTATTGACTTCAAATTATCTTGATAAAATAAATAAAGAATGAGACCTTGTACTTATTACGGACTATAACCTTAACCTAACTACTAATATTATGAATGCGGAAATTTGTTTGTCTGTGTACGTCAAAACGGCTGAAGGGATCGAGTTGAAATTTGGAACAATGATAGATTATGGTCTGGTTTAACACATAGGCTACTTTTTATCCCTTGGGACCGCGGACGAAGCCGGGGGCAGAAACTAGTACGGATATAAACCTAAAAAACTTTTGTAGAGGAAAGGTTTGATCTATAGGTACACGTATTTAAAAAGACATACTATGCTAAGGCCTATGCTTCATACAAATTAACTTATTTCGAATTTTGTTTCGTTCTATTTATACACAATTTTATATTTTGTGTGGACTGATTTTTATACATTTTCCTACACACAGTTCTTACTATCCTAGACAATTTAATACAGAGTAACAAAAGCATTCACTTAAGTTCAACTTTAACTCGTATTTCCTTTATATAAGAACTAAATTCCTGGTTAATGCCCCTCCCCTTTAGAGGAGCTAAATGGCTAAGTACGAGTCTGTTTTACGTTTAACAAGATCGAAATGTTACCGCGTCTAGCACTCTAATTGGTTGGTTTATTGGAGCAGGCCAATCAGAGCGCTATACGTCATCAACGTGCCGCTTACGTTAAAAGTAAAATAAACTCGCACCAAGCCTTGTGATGACGACGAAAGAATAAATATTTAACGTACTTTAAAGACGCTTTCTTCGAGAGATATGGAGAGTCGTGTGCAGGAGTCGAGCAGGCTGTGCTCGGGGATGATGCCGAGCACTCCGCCCGCCGCGCCCGCACTCCCGCCGCCCGCCAGCGCCGGCATCGACTGGCACTCCTCAGACTTCGACAACCCTGTGAGGCAATCAACTGACCACTCTACAATCAATGCACATTAAGATACTTCAGCAAACAACATGAATTTCTAACTCTATACCAATAAGGTTGAAAATCTATTTTTTCAGTTTCGGGTAACTACCCGAATCGGGTAAGTATCAAACTTGATATGATGCCATGTCAGGCTGAACTGACTGCTGCAAGTCGATGGTCGTCCAGCTATTTCATCAAAGGTGCTGGATTTTTAACCTTATCCCAAGTTAATATGGTAGAAATTTACTACAGAATTTGTCACTTGGCGTATCCATAAAAATTATGAACTTTCAACTTTATCCTGAGGTAATAGGGGAGAAATTGTATTGACGAATTTTCACAAACTAAGGGGAGCTTTATATTCGGGCATTTTTTACCCTTTATTATAAAGAAATTCGGACTTACAAATATTTTTTGGGAGACGTTCATTTTAGTCGGGAAGTGCTTTTTGTTTTAGATTAAGCTTTTTTATATAAAACTGTTATAAATGAAAGGAAAGGGAGTCATTTTTTTTTTGTTTCACGTACTGTACGGTGCAAGCATTCCAGTGAAGTTTCCTATATCGTTAAATGCTTTACTCTTAGTCAGTGGGTTGTATACTTTTAAGTCATTGGAATAAAGGTCAATATGAATTTAGATTTTCGATAGAAATAAAAAATATGTCAAAATTGTCACAGTACGGAATGGCAATACATAACTCAACGTTAAGATTGATAAATCGCATCAGTGAGTTATGAGAATGCCTGTAAAATAACACTGTTATGAAATCAAACATCCGTTTCTTCTAAAGTGATAAGTGATCGCACTGAATCCATAAGATACTTACTTCATGAGTTAATGATACTTATGGTCATAGTATTAAAGTACATTTTAGTTTATTCCCGCCCGGTTAGTGATCCCAGGTACTCAAATATTACTAGAAAATGGGAGTCAAAGTTACGCGGGTCTAACATTAGTGAGGTGTCTACAAAACCTAGTCTACCAACTCTGTGCTACCGAAACCCAAGTTTAAAACAAATCTTATGAAGTATGGAAGATGTGATGTTATTGAACTCATTCACAAACTGGCTGCAAAACTCACCAAAAACGTTATATTATTTGCTATGAATATTGTAACTTGACTAGATTATTTTAACAACTTAAACGAGTTTCATTCGGATGACCTGCGAAAAATGCTGTATTTTATTAGGATATCAATCCTACAGAATGGTAAATGATAGAGAATACTTGTAATATTTACCTTCTAAATTAAATTTGTTGCCCCAGCGGTCGCATTCGCATTGCAACCACGTTTTCTCAGCCTCCAAAGACAACTGTCCTGTGAACAAAGTTAAATTTTAATAGGTGCCCAATTTTTACAACTTATTTTAATATTAGTAAAGCGTGTTCGTGTATTAATTATTCGAAGTTGTTCGTGTTTCTGACTTAATATAATTCTTTATAAAGCCTTCGCTATGGGGAACGTATCCAACAAAAATAGCTCGGAAACAATGAGTGTTGTGACTAAGTTTTCTCATAACACATGAAGCTCAGTTTCCGTGTTTTGCAAAACAAAGTCTCAATGATTTTCTCATGTATCATTATTCAAATAAAACTTGAATTATCTCAGGGAACATCTTAATTTGCAGTCGAAAATGTGAAGCATAATAAAATGTTAGTTTTTTTGTTTTATTACTGATACATACAAATACCATTTAAATATAAGTGGTAGTGGTAATGGTGGTAATAAATAAAATCATTGATTTTATTGTTACTAGCGTCGAATTACTTGAGGTTAGGTGAAATTTTACGAGGTTCATGTACTGAGGCCTTTGCCGTGCCGGCCCATCCGTGCCAAGCATGGCTCCCTCACACTTAACTTTCTTTTTTATTTATATTACAACTGTTTAAATGTAGGTCGGTGGTACATTTTATGATGTCGAATAAAAGGTACGATAGTTAATTACGTTATGTTTTTTACTATAACTGACCGTAAGGAGTCGTCTATTATTATTAATTGTTATTATAATAAGTACGTTAGCTACGTGTTGAAGTACCCTCTTATAAATATTATCCTACAGCTAAGTGTCACTTGGTAGCGAGGATATTTTGAAAACGTGTGTAAGTCGTTATCTGAATTACTTGTGTTAATTGAAAATGTTGAAATGTGACCTTCTTAACCTAATGTTAATTGTATTGTTGTACTAGAAAATAAGGATGATAAGGCCGGTCTTCAATTTGTATAAACCAATAAGGTAATTTGGAATTATTTTATAAAAATATAAAAATACGTTGTTGAGGCGGCATTATCATGTGAAAACATAGTTTAGCAGAAGGCTCGGAGACCATTTTCAAAGTAAAGTAATTAAAGTAGTATTTAATAATCACACCTTTAATTTAACATAACATCACGCCTTTTATCCCCAAAAGGGGTAGGCAGAGGTGCACATTATACCACTGTACAATGTAACACCCACTTTTCACTATTTATGTTATGAGTCCCATGTAATAGGGGGTAAGCCTATTACCATATACCGGGCACATTCCAGACTCCGTGCTATTACTGAGATTTTTTTTAAAAATCCAGTAATCCTTTGCCCGACCTGGGAATCGAACCCGAGACCCCTGGCCCGGCAGTCGCACTTGCGACCACTGGGCCAACGAGGCACTTTTAATTTACTCCAATTCTATCTTCTTGGTGTGATCTTGTGATCAAAACTGTGACCAGGAAATCATGAGAGATTGCCCATCTCTTCATTATCATATGCTGACATTTTCTATGGCCGAACTGCGATCTACAAACCACTAGCTAATGGAGATTATGGCAACCCAAACACAAACGGACAACTGGATAATCATGAAATGATTGATGGTTATCCAGCCTCACAACCTCCTCTTGAAGAGAAGGAAGTATCAGACTTGTACTTGTACAACCAGGTCTTAGTGAGTGGCTAGGCTCCCTCGTAATCCCAAGAGGAATTGTTTTAATGAATACGAAATGTTGTGAGGATGTATGTATGTTTGTCAAGTTTTCACGAAAAAACTACTGGGCGTATTTGAATGAAATTCGGTGCAAGTATAGACTATAGTCTGGATAAACAAATGGAGTAATTTTATCCCGGCAACCCGGCAAAAGCTAGTGATATATTTACTTACTAGCATAAGCCTCCTGGTCGCGATGATGCCGGGGCGGCGGCGGGTCTCTGAAGGAACATATCCACTCGTCCTTTACCCGGAGGATGCGGCCGGTTACCCGGGCGTAGTACTCGTAGTTATCCCGGCCAAACAGGTCGCCAGCACTGAACTGCTCGATCAACTGACGCATGATCCTTGTCGCCACCTGGATATACCATATTAACAATATAATATTTATTAAGATACTTCGCCAACGATTGTCTAGATGCTAGATCAAAAATTGTTTGATCATAAATATTACATTAATTTTGTACTATAACTATAACAGTTTGGAGACCATATATCAATAAAATATTTACATTATTTACTATAAATACTAAGTAATAAATAAACATACTACTAGAAAAACTAGAAAAGATACAAACCTCTTAAGAATTATAAAATATACCATTAATGTTCTTACTACCTTACGATTATTCAAAGCAGTTCGATTATACACCGTGAACATGTATATCGTTTTCGTCCCGAAGTAAAATGGTTCTATCTTAGTAATACAATAGTTTCACCAACATATAAGATGTTTAACAAAAATAACTGATGAACAATTGCAGAAAGCAAACTTCGAAAGCGCATACGAACTCATAGTGCATTATCAAAACATCACGCCATGTAAGTAATGATTTTAAACTAAAAAAAAAAAACATCTTTAATATTGTATTTACTTTATGCATCGAGAGTACTCCTTATGGCTAGTTGTTTTGCTGCAGGCCGAAAACAAAATTTTCACGGTGTATTTATTAATGTGTCTACAAGTAAAATAAACATGAATCACCACATAGCTATAATTTTACTACTCAACAATAATACAAATTCGTCAATCACAAGTGCAAGAATTGCAAAATAATAGATTAAAATAAAATTATCATGACAATGAATCATGCGCACTAAACTACGTAATTTATATAAGCATCGGAGGGTGATGGAAAAGGACAAACTGGCATTGGTGCGTTTTGAAAAGATTCCAACTCCTAAACTTTGATTCGTTTTATCTGAGTATTGTTCTATTATACGACAAAATAAAAAAATACGTGTCTAATATTTTTTAATTACCTAACTTACGGACTAATTACATTTTTGAAATGCATACCCTGTCATCATCCCAATTGCAAGAATAATTGTTTATCGCCCGAATACTGAAAGCCTACTTAATTACTTGCCAACTAGTCAAATTCAATACTTTTTTCGAACTGTCAAAAACGACAGTTTTCTATGAATTGTGTACGAGATTGTGTATTGTGACGTCACGTTTTTTTAGCGTTAAAAAACATGCTTTTTTCTTAAAAATTTGCTGAAACAATACTAAAATTAAGTTGGTCATAAAGTCAATTAATGAAGGTGTGATTATTATTTAATTTTTTATTATATTGAATTGAAATCGAAATTCGAAATTCGCATTGGAGACTCGGTTGCCAGAGAAAAAAAAAAGAAGTCGACATTTTTGATTAAGAAGAAGTACCTACCCAATTTTATGTCGCGCTACAATTATTTTTTGTAAAATGAGAGAGATGGCATGATATTTAAGTACAACTTAAAATTGTAACCTTTCAGTATTTAGGCCTTCTTAGGTCATTACTTGAGAAATGTCCTATAACTATTTTTATCACTGAATAAAATGTTCAGTGGAACCAGGAAGTGAGTAACTCGAAGGAATCCATGAATCAAGCTCATCAATGTTGTCTCTAAAGAATAAATGATGTTCCCCAGCGCACTGATAAGCAACACAAACACAAGCATTTTGTTAAGAAACTAGTTTTTCAATGTTGCGGCGTTGGAAGTTGATTACTTGAGACTTGAGAAAGGTGAGTATTTGTTCAATAATGAATAATATAGGAATAAGTCATAAAAGTGCGAACGCAAAACTTAACATTCTAATTTCATTGATGGGACTTTGAGACAGAGAGTTGCTTTACTTGCTTTACCGTTTGAGTACCGTCATTATAGACACAATTATAGAACAATAGGTTGCGGTCACCGGTGGCCGCTTGGTGTTTGACAGTTTAAACTGTCAACCTATTGTTCTATAATTGTGTCTATAATGACGGTACTTGACGAGTTAAGAGAGGGAATTCGCGAGTCGTTTGGATGCTACGTCATAAGGTGTATCTACACCTTGTAGGTTATCTAAACAACATTCGATCCGTAAAAACAGTACACAAACGCAACAACGTTGACGTAGACAGCGCAACGCTACTCTGAGGTAAAATGTGGCCATTTACAGCAATATTTTACCTTTTTAATTTTGCGGAATTTTATACCGCACAGCGTATGTCAGTCGCATCGCAGCCTAATAAGTGTATATATCAACCAGAGATCAATGAATCAAAACCATAAAGTGGATTGTTGAAATATTAAACATTAAATCAATATTGTTAGTTTGTTGTAGTTTCCGAACATAACCAAAAGTTTCCGATTGTTGTCACATGTGGCGCTAGTGCATTCTGTCTTCTCTCTGTAATCTTTACCGGCTAATAAACGTATTGTTAAACTTTCATCTCGTTTATTATTATTCAACGTGGATCAACATTCTCAGTGTGCCAGTTTCTGATCGCTTACAACATATCTACACCTTTTTACTATTGTAACATCCATTGGTTTTAAACCTAAATCATAACCTACTCTTTTACTGCCAAAACGTATGCAAATATCCCAAGTAGACTAAAGTTGCGCTTGTTAATTTTCTCGAGTATTACAGTGCACAAATAATCCTAAATCTGTGCAAACGTCCATGAGTTATGTTCAGTAGTATATGCGCGTGTTGCCGTGAATAATTCCTCACCAAACGATAACTAATGCTCATAACTAGGCATAAAAGACATGCAAAAGCGTGTAACATCAAATAGCAAGCCTGTTACGCTAATTAAAAATGCGTAAAAACTTAAATAATGGGAACCGGTAGCTAAAGCTATGTACTATCGGACTAGTTATTGGTATCCAGGTAATAAATTACAAGTAGATTTAAATAGCAAATTTCCTAAATATGTAATAATATGTTGGTAAAATATTCAAGATCTCGTCACACTGTTCTCAATATACGTTCTGAGAATTTTGACACGTAGGTAATAAAAGTACACGAAAAATGACAGGAAATATCTACTTCCTGCCGATAAATTTGAAAAATAGCCAATGATGTTTACATTGCCATTGTTACAAAATAAATTCATTATATAAACAATATGTTTATCATATTATTAATAACATAGGTAGGTTAAACCTCTCTAACAAAAATTATAGACCAAACTTATTGATAAAAGGAATAGTCTTCATTGCCTGGTCACCAAAACATTTGCCGATAGTACCAACACTACCAACTGCCTAAGTAACACATTGGAAGGTAAAGTGATCGATTGTATAATGATATACTCACGCTAACTTCAGCCTTTGGCCGCATGTTATACAGTTTTAGTGAACACAGTTATGAAGCTATGTACAGTAACCATCTTATAATATACATGTACCTATATATTACATTGTATCGAATGGAAACAACGGATGTGGACAATACTTAGAACGAACTCGTGAATGTCTAGTCTATTATTTTGTTTTGGTAGTGATTATTGAAAGGTTCCTGGCTAACACTGAATCGTGTAAGTTATTGTAACACTAAATAATGCGATGAGCATAATTTTTATAGGAATATAGAGTATAGAAAAGCAAAGGGTCATTCTAGAATCAATGAGGGACATTCCGATATGTCCGTTTTCTGATAATCCAACATTCATGGTAGGTGTTCTAATTTTCTTAAACGAGAGACGCAATCAAGATCATAATACTTATCTTACGTACTAATAGAAGATAGTTACACATCAATATACGTAACGAAGAAATCCTGATATGAAACTTAATCCAATCAACTAAAAATCGCGGGTTACTCACTGAAAATAGTGAAAAAAGCTACTCATGACGAGACATCGCCGCGACCGCGCATGCACTCATGAGGAAGAGCCCCTCTGTGGCTCGAAACCAGTAGAGCTTTTCTCAGTATTATCACGTAAGTAACCGCGAGTTTTAGTTAGTTTAGTACGCCTCACGATAGTTAATATAAAAACAAACGTAACCCAGCTACAAAAACAAATCATCAATCATCATTCTTCCTAACAAAAATTCATATAAATTTTCACACCTAATACTATCTTTAATAATTAGTCAAAGACACGCAAGTCGTACTCTACCAGACAAAGAATTAAACTCGCTATCCATATCAAAGACAATTAGCAAATATGCGATACGAAGGAGGTTAATTAATGTAGTGACGTCACTTTACAAAGTCATCAAACTTCGCAATGGCTCATAAAAAACGTGGAATGTTCTGACATAAGGCTTAGATAAAGCTAAGTAAGGCAGACACATTCACACATTTAGCTTAGTTTTTTTTCCTATACTAGGCTTCCAGGTTAACTCGCGAAGAAACGGCTTGATCTTTTAGTTCCTTAGATTTTTTAATATGTTAAGATTAAGTTGGATTAACGGTCGATTTTTAAACCATCAGTTAATTCATCATTAAACTGTAGAATAAAGTTGACATTTGACAGTTATTGGCATGGAAGATTTTTTTTTAATGGGACAAGCCCGCCACGACCTCCCAAAACCACTGCAACTCCTGTAAGCCAGGATCTACAGTAGATACAACCATAAAAACACCAGAACACTGAAGTCCGGCGCGTCCCAGGGACATGAGCAACTGTCTTGGTTCCCGCAACGAAGTGAATCAGAAGATATTATAAGAGAAGAAGAAGAAAAAACTATGGTTTTCACTTCCCTCGGTGAATTACTGAAGGAGACAGAATGAATTAAGCCTAAAGGCACAAAGAAGAGACTGTACAACTGGGTGAAGGGTGGAAGACTTGTCAAATATTCAAAGCTATTCCTCTGATAAAATTAAATTGAGCATTGAAAAATCGGCCCAAAATGTACTATAAACAATTCGCATAAACAAGTTTATGGGATCTGGTGTGGCTTGAAATTAGTCGAGGATTTCTTTTTGAATAACATAAATAGGCAAAGAATGGAGTCAGTAGCGTTTTTCTTTTTAATTTCTTGGTAAATACTCTCTGAGACAAGTATTTGATTAACTGGTAAGGTATGTCGTATAAACGGTCGTTTAGTTACCCATAAAACAGAAACTTGAATACAAAAGAAAACAATTATTATATGAAACGTTAAAACGCATTCATTGCACTGAAAGACTCGGGACAACGAAGACAATTTACAATTTAATCGTTTTATCAGATAAGGAAACATTATTAGAACCTCACTCGACATTGCTGATAAAAAAAACTGTTTATTGACTCTGAATAGCGATAACGATTATTGTTGCCTTTCTTCAAGTTGAATTTATTGTTAGAACTTATTGATTTCATATCACTATGACTAAAGATAGATACAGTGGCCAGTAGCTCAACCTACACCAATCTGTCAAATGTATTCATTACATTTTCTACTTCATATCAATGCAATAAAGTTGAAAATGTAATAAAGAAAATTACAGAAAAGGATAGTTTGAACTGCTGGCCACAGTGGATATACTTTTTACACAAAGTCATGCAATTTGAATTATAATAACGCGTATAAAATGTATTTCACACTGCGCTGTAAGTTTTCATTGTTATTAGATTTGATGACACTATACAATGTAACATCCACTTTTCACTATTTATGTTATGAGTCACATGTAATAGGGGTGAGCCTATTGCCATATACCGGGCACAATTCCAGACTCCGTGCTACTAAAGAGATTTTTTTAAAACCCAATAATACTTTGCTCGACCCGGGAATCGAACCCAAGACCCCTTGCCCGGCAGTCGCACTTGCGACCACTAGGCCAACGAGGCAGTCTGTCAGAATGCAACGTTCTAATTAATGAATTTTCGCTTCCTCTCAGAGAAAGGATAAACCTGTTATCTAAGCCGTCATAGAATAGTAGATATCAGAAGCTAAAAAATCGTTTACATGCACCACACCCACTTTTCGTCACTACGATATTAATTTCGTCATGAAAACTAAGCTTTATTATCTACTGCCTGCAGATATTTTTTAACCGACTTCAAAAAAAAAGAGTTTTCTGTTTGACCTGTATATACATTATGTATATTTGTGCGCCTTTATCCCGCGAAACCTTTGATGTGGTTTTTCAGAAAAGTGTTTGGTACTTAGGAGAAGGTATATTAATAAACAGATTTCAAAACAGTGGGTTTTTTGTAAGGGGGGAAAATCATCGAACTGCTGCTCCCGCCTGGGTGAGGCGGGAGGGAGTGTCAGATTCTTACTGACTAAAAACCACCCCTTTCCTTCTCCTGCACTTCGAGCCGGAGCCCCGGTTACCCGTTAGGTTCTCCGCGACGAAAAGTGAGTTGAAGTTGGTTGTTTAAACGTAGTTAATAAAAGAAATATTCATACAGAAAATCAAAAATACTTTCACTGAAATCCAAATAAAACTCTTGTAAAGACTTTGTGAAATTATTCAAAATCTCTCAATAGACCAAAGTTCACAAAACTCGATAGAAGTAATGAATAAAAAAAATTTACAAACGCAATAGTTGGCCCTACAAATTTTAAAGGTGCCCCTCGGATTCCCTGGGATCCCATCATCAGATCCTGACATGGTGACCATGGGACTACCTATGAGGTATACTCAATCAAACAAAAAAAAATCATCCAAATCGATTCAGGCGCATTCAAATAATCGGTGAACATAATTATATAAAAGAAACTTTCGACGACTTCTCAACCTGCTCCTTTTTGTTAAGTCGGTTAAAAATCGATGTAAACCCAAAGATTTTGTTATACAATTTTGAATTACAATAATTTATTGATGTCAATCAACAAATACCTACCTATCAAACCTTTTAACAAAAGTATTATAATTAAATGACAAAATTCACCTAGGTACATAGAATAGTTTTGTCTACACGATTGTGTGTCGCCGAGTACCAAAACAAACGCGTTTCCACATGTCCACATCAGGTGATTACACCGAAACTCGATATGTTTAATCTTCGATAATGGTGCAGCTATCACGTATGCTACATATACATGTATCACTTTACAAAGCGCATTCACTCCCCTTATACACATATTAACCGTCGTTAGTAACAACGTTAGATCTAATATTGTGCCATCAGCCAGTAACCCCACTAAATTAACCAGCTGCAGTTCTTAGAAATTATTTTTTACTTTTAATTTACTTACTTAGTCATAATTTGACAAGGTTACATCATGAATTGAATTTACTAAGGTAAGTCACCAATGAATGACTCACTAGACAAGGATATTAATGTATTATTCCATAGGATACCATGGCAACGTCGAACAAACTATCAGGAATCAATAATCTTATTATATATTTAACATTTCCATGGCTGTTCGTGGTACTTGGTATCATTAAATCATTTTCCCGTGTTGTGACATATGAAAGGTTATGTTTGAACCAACCTTGAATCTCTGAACGTCCTCCATTGTGGCTGTTTTGCCGTCCGACACGCAAGAGTGGAAAAATGATGGGGCCACCGACACGCCCAGGGCTTCGGATGTCATACCTGTACCTAGAAACAATACAATGCACGATTCAACTAAATTGTAATTAGGATTAATTTCGATTACGTACCAGAAATTATTTCACGGACTGACATATAAGACTAAAAATCCCCTAGACCAGTAAAATATAGATTACCTAGTAGTTTTAGTCACAATCATACTGTACATGAACTAAAAGCAAATCATAACAATTTCAAAAATGTACACACATCACTCATTAGACAAACAGTGGCGCTTACAATCACTAGACCAAGAAGTAACGCATAAATTGTGATGTAACTAGCCACTTAAATTCCGCAGCCAATAACTTGACGAAACAATGCAATTAACAACAAAGTAGACAGCGATTGTCAGTAAAAAACCTATAAATAAATCGAACAGCACAAGAAATTCGCGGAAAACTAACTTTTTACCCTTATTCGTTGAATTCACAGTAAAGTCATTCAACTTCACTGTTTCATATAATTGTAGGATACAAAAACACATCTATTTAAGAGGCAAATTACTGTAATTAAAACTACAGACACCGAATTAGCCATGTTTTACATGAAAACAGAAGTCTCGTAAGATAATGCACGAACGGCATTGCACTGCTACACGCAATGTGGTACGAACAAAGCATTTTCCCAGTATTACACACAACAAAAACTATACGTCGTTATTTTTGTGATGTAGAAAGAATAATTTATTCATTATAATTTAATTTGTTGAATTTACAAAGGAATCTTACTTTGTATTGTGCTAAAATATCCTAATTTCATTACGATTTGACTTCCATACAAAATAGCCTTTACTTATGTAAGTTGATTATTCCACCTCTTTCTACTCGATAAGAAACAGCCGTTACACTATACTATGCAATGTAAATAGACAAACTCCCTACATAAAAGCCATAAGATAACAATACGACTGCACAAAACTAAGTCTTAAACGAGCAGTTCCTGTCACAATTGGAGCATGACGCCGGAGCTCGGTGCTCTTCAAACACAGGCGATATTAACATAATATTTTACATATTAATACCTGCGACAACAATGACGTACATCGCATTAAATAAGGCTCGATATACAGCCCAAGTGAGCCGTATATGTCTGACAATCGCACACTACGACGCTTTTGTCGGCGACGGTGACATTGTGAAGGAAAACTCTATAGGCATTAAAACACTACGTGCAGCGTGCAGTTTAACGAACGCGCTTCATACCAGCATTCAGGATGGTTGCCAGGGGAATTTGTGAGTTATGTGATCGACCAGTTTATATTCTACCACTCGTGCATTTACATGCTAAACACAATGATATGCAATCGCTTTATTTACGATTGTGGAAAATCTATAAACATCGGAAAACTGTGGAAGGTACTTTGAAGAAAATGGAACATTTTCTGCGCCAATGGAAACGGTGACATTTCCCATGAATTCGCGACGTTTTGCGAAAGTAGGACACCACAGCGCGACCCAAATAATTAATATAAATATATAATAGATCAAAAAGGTTACGAGCAAAGCTAATAAAACGAAGACGTCATCACAAACTAGGCCAACAAATAATCCAGCGAGACGTTCTGAAGAAACATTAAATAATCACACAATGAATGTAAAGCCGTTGCATCACGCGCGCCCACGCAGGCTCGCGTGTTATTGCCATAATTACCACTAATTACTTTCGTCAGGCCACTGCCAAATGCTTACAATATACTGTCATGTACGTAACATATCATCATAATAAGCGTTCATCAAATCATCACAATTAGATATCAATCTTCAAGCAGATATGTAAGAAATTCTGCTACCGTGTACGAATGTTAAAAATTAGTCAAACCAAATATTTGCAAACTCATTTCAGTGTAACTTTATTTGCAGTAATCTTAATTAGACTGTTTCGTGAGTGGCCTCACTGTAAATATCCATTGTGTGAAATTCTTAGCAGACTCTATGACGTAAGCTGATAGTGTTGCTTGGTAACTTGTGAGAATGCAGGTCCTTTCCGACAATCTGTCCGGATTAATATTGTGTAAGTTAAGAACAAAAAATTACAAGCGAAAGTCGGCTGCGAGATGTGGAACACGGATTATATTTTTTATCCCGAAAAAGTACTGCCTGAGTATTAATTTAAGTGTTTTATTTATCAAAAGAATAGTTACCAGTAGCGTATGTAGTTAAGTTATTCTGTACTAAGAAAGATATAAAGAATTGGAATATGTTTTTTTGTTCTGATTTTCGTAATTGATTACAATTTCGAGATAATATTTCAGCCGAATTTTCCAATGAAGTACATCATTAACTTCCAATACTTCAAAGGTCCTTTCGTCCCATAACCTAAACATCAATTTTTTCGTTTTGTTTTTCTTTGTTTAAAAAGGCATTAAAGTATGTACTCGCCTGCTTTATCAGCGTTGGATGCCATCACCCGAAACGTGCCGAAGAGCAACACCAGCAGTCTTTGCGTGCACACCGGCAGGGACAGAAGCAGTCTGTGGACAAACATTCAGTAATGATAACTGGAAAATAATCACAAATGAACCCTAATACCTTGTACTCGACTAAAATACTGGCGTAGTGCGAACAAGGCATTAATATTATTCTACAAATATGTTCCCCTTAGTAAACCCTTAGTATGTTCCTTTTAGGTAGAAAATCATCCAATGACTTCTCCCGCCCGGGTGAGGCTTGAGGGAGTGTCATACTCTTACTGACTAAAAACCAGCCCGTTCCTACTTCTAGTCTTCGCGCAAAAAAAAGTCTTCGAGCCGGAGACCCGGCAGGTGGCAACCCGTTAGATCCTCCGCGGCTCCGTACGGCAACACTTAGCATGTTCTACAAGTACGATTAACCATTGGGGACAGGCCGCAGAATTATTTAATTCTTCAATAATTCAGTGATATATGTTAGGTTTTAATTGACCATACACTTAGATATTAATATGATTAAATTCAAGTTTTAAATATAATCTATCACAACTTTCATACACGATCATTCGAGTAATACACCGTTTTTCTATTGGCCACCTTGACAAGGTTTTAAACTGTCAAACACCAAGCGGTCACCGGTGACCGCAACCTATTGGTCTATAATTGTGTCTATAATGACGGTACTCGACGAGTTAAGAACCTAAGTAGCTAACTGTAAATAAGTCCCATAAGCCCGTAACTAACAAGGGAGAGGTTCAGAGGTCACTCGTAGAAAATGTGACAAATCTCATTAAACAGTTGCCTAATATTGCAGTTTTCGTTTTGAAATTGCATTTAAGCGACATCTATAGAACAGAGGGACAAGTTTATGACGTTCGGCACTCTGACTGGCCAGCTCCAATTAACTAACCAATCAGAGAGTTAAACGGCAGTGTATCGATTGTGTTAACGTAAAAAGGTGCTCAGTCAGATGTCCGAGCCGTGATGGGGATATTGTAACGTCATGTCCTAATTGGCTGGTGAAAAAATTGAAGCTCTCACTATGATGTGTACGCGCAGTGCTTTTAATTATTTTTAAGTATGCATTAAGCTGTACAAATCTCATACCGCGAGTCTACTGCAGAATATTAGGTGCAATTCCAGACTCAGTTTCATCTACATTAAACTGTTTAAGTAGGTACTAAGGAACCTTATATTTTTCTCTACTAGGAAATCGAACCGAATCCTAGTGATTAAATAATAGTCAAACAAAACCTCCAACATTTTTACGTTAAATTCGCATTTTGCTTAATCGCTAACACGAAACAACCCGAACCAATTCCAGACTATGGTGAGAATGAGAATTATTGAGAGTGAAACCAAAAAAAAAACGTAGTATGTTACAATAATCAATTCTCCGATTCAATTGAGAGAAACGAATCGCATGCTAGCTAATGATAGTGATGTTAGAACAATACTTGCAATATTGGAAACACCACGCGATCACTTATATGATTTGTTATAAAAAAACTACAGCAATACTTAAAATACTAATAAACGTTTTCCGTAATACCTACATCAACAAATATGTACCTACAAATGAACAACTTTATTACTACCTATCATAAATTAAATTAAATCGAATTATTAATTCACTCGTTAGTACCTATTACGACATAGCATAGGTACCTACTTCCATAGTGTTATCAAAGTGACCTAATTATAGGAGGAAAATTAAAAACATGTAGTTCGTTGACCTCTATGAATAATTCACGGTAAAACCACACAAATAACTCGGTTAGTTATAAGATTTATATCAATGAGTTGAAAGACGGCATTGTATAACATGCGGTATGAGTGTTCGAGGCGTCGACTTAACGCATGAATAACCAACGATTACGTTAATACGTTCAATGCTGCTCCGATTATACAATGAATGATATCGTCTTCATATTTTACGACTTCTGGAGTTTGACTTGCAGGAATACTTTCAAGGCGTTAAATATATTTTTTTATAGCATAAGCCGGTAAACTAGACGGATCACCTGATGGTAAGCAATCGGCGTCGCCCATGGACACCTAGAACACCAGAGACGTTACAAGTGCGTTACCGGCCTTTTGGGATTAGGAATTTGAGGATTGTTAGAGATTCAGGGATTGGGGAAGGGGGTAATTGGGCCTCCGGTAACCTCACTCACACGACGAAACCCAACACAACGTTGTTTCACGTCGGTCTTCTGTGAGGCCGTGGTATCACTCCGGTCGAACAGACCCATTCATGCCGAAGCATGGCTCTCCCACACTTAAATATATTTAAGAAATAACAACTATACCTTGTTGGGAGGGAAAGAGGAAAAAGAACTTTAGGTATAATAATAAAAGGTCCAAATCGAAAGTGCATCTAATCAACAAGCACTGATGAAGTATATGCGATAGCCTTCCAGGATGGGAAGGACGGGATCGTTCACCACGTTCATGTAAGAAGCCAACAAACTTGTGTGGCAGACAGTTCATACAAATTCCGTTCTTCATTCTTTATCTGGTACATACTAGCGATCCAGACATTGTGTAACATACCTTTAATGTCTCTGGCTACCCCAACAGGAGACTAGTACAACCATTTGTACGTAATACATAACTTACGACACCACTTCTCTTGAAATTAGTTGAAAAGATTTTTATTAGAAATTCAGGACAAATGAATAGATCAATCTATTGTAACGAAGTTGTTTTATTTAAAAAGAAAACTCAACACGAAATAGCCATTGACCGTGACTTAGAAATCAGAAGTTCACGGTCAGAGATTTTAAATTTCGATTTAGAGCCGGCTGTATCGTTCATCTTTTTTAAAACCACCGATTCTTAATAGAGATTTAAATTATTTGAGAGACAAAATGGTTTTCTTTTATTTTTATCCATTGCCAAAACCCATCACGCCTGTATTGCTTAACAAGGTACCCGGCCATTTAATGGTCGACTAGCTTCAAACACGACGCGTCCATATTGGACCCGGAGTTCACGCTCAATATATCAGATAAGCCACACCTACCTTTAAAACTTTTTAGGGCAAACAACATTTAAAAGTCCATCATGAATATTATGGTATAAAAGGAACATTAAAATACTATTGCTTTTATACTGTTTCGTAAAATTATATCGCCATCTGCGCTCCATCTTGTAAAGGTCGATTTACTTGTGCTGTACCAAGTATGAAGAGTTAAAGCGACATTTATTTTATCGAGACTCTGAATCTAAAATGTCACGCCATGCCTTCTGCCCGTAAGAACAGGGCATTGCCATTTAAAGTGAATCAACAAAAACCTTGGTAAATTGAAGCTGCGATCGTTTTCGGCAGTGTCATGACCAATTACATTTGTCTTGGACACGTCTATCTACTGTTCTAAAGCTAAATAAAATAAACTACGTACTTAGAACCCATACTGCAGTCTTAGGCACACATAAACTTTAGAGGCAGCAGCAAATACCTAGAATAAGTTATAAGAATATTACCCATTAGGCATAATTTATTTTATTTGTTTACCATCACGTCCATGGCAACCGAAGCACACCGTTACTATGCGTATGCGCATCAAAATTCAGGTCGGGTGTTCTATAAACAACCATTGTTCCTATCCATAATACTGGTGTATTGTGAAAGTCCTATACCTGTCCCAGCGTAACAAACGGTACATAACGACAGACTATAACATTTACATGCAATTTATAAAGGAAACACAAACAATAATATACTTGATATTATAATAAAAAAAAATCAAATACTTATCAACTTCGCACTAAGTATAAACCCGGGTATGTAATGGATAATGTTACCATCCAATAAGACTGAACATGATTACATTGTCGTCTGAACACTATAGAGCATGTAATGTAATTTAGTACCGAAATACTCTAGGGACTAAATAGGTATTAATATTAACTAACAACATGGTAGGTACAGGAGGTTATTTTTCAGCATTTTTGCGTCAATAAACTCACACAATTATTTCACAACAACCCATAAAGCTTCAAATTGAAAGTTAAATAAAATTCAGATGTCATAAAATTTTAAAAATCGATTTTAAGGTATAGGCATAGGGGCTTCGAAGAATTGTTTAGTTTGATCCCTGCTGCAATTTTTCGCCATCGACCCACGCGACAGCATTTCCATTCCATCATATTATTTAGATGGTGAGCAGGCAAGAACTGCACATTTCTTACAAAATTTTCTGTCAGCCACTGCAAAACCGTGAAATAAACCGTCGCCAACGATATATCCAAACCGATACGACCTTCAAACCTTCAAGAAAAGAGCGTATTCCTTATTAAAAAGCCTCTAGTGTTGCGAGTGTCCATGGACAGCTATAACCAGTCTGCTCGTTTGCCCCTATTCCATAAAAATACTTAAAAAACCGCTAATTAACACTGCTGATCCGATTTTTATGTAGCATAGACTAAGAACCGCTATAGACAAGGTTTCAATAAAAAAATGCAATCAAAATTAGTGCATTCAGGTCAGATTCAGCCAGGTCAAAATTATAACAGCCTTCTATTTACATCGGTAGTTATACAATAGAATAACATCACAGTTAATAAAATCAAATACCTTATCTCTTGGCTCTACAAACAAACAATATGGTAAATCCACAAGCAGGTAAACATCGCGATACAACTTAATAATAGAAATAGGAAAATTGTGTTTATAAATCTTTTATGGATGTCATGTTTTTTCTCGTATCAAGTGTCGGTTTCTGTTTAGTTCCAATAATACTCATATATTGATTCAGACTCGTAACTGTTTATCGAACATAAACCTGTGTGTATTGTAACTTACGTGAGACATACTAAATAAATTATTATGTTTTCGGCTTACTCACGTAATAATTTCACGAGGAACTCGACTAGTTTCAAGCCATGCTAGAGGCTCATATTCATGAGCAGCATTTCGCGACCCGCGACGCGGCGCCTGTCGCGCTGCTATTTGTCGAGTTCCTCGTCAAATTATTACGTGAGTAAGCCGAAAACATAATAATTTATAAACCTGTGTGGTGTTTTTTATGCAATGAGCAGACGAATCACCTAATGGTAAGCAATCGGCGCCGCCCATGGACACCCGAAACAACAGAAGCGTTAAAAGTGCGTTACCGCTCGTTAACTTTTAGGGGATTATTGACAACCTGTGTAAAAAAAATGAATTCTCGTTCGTTAGTCTCGCTAAAACTCGAAAACGGCTGAACCGATTTGACTAATTTTGGTCTTGAAATGTTCGTCCAGGGAGTCCAGGGAAGGTTTAAAAGGTGATAAAAAATCTATAAGCGTTACGAAGTTTGCCGGGTCCGCTAGTATCGTATAAAAATATAACTGCCTGTATGGTACATCTTTCGTACAATGTGATCACGTATTGAGAATTATTTTCAGAAGAATTTAAATCATCATCATCATAACATCACGCCTTTTGTCCCCGGAGTGGTAGGCAGAGGTGCACATTATGCCACTCTACAATGTATCACCCACTTTTCACTATTTATGTTATGAGTCCCATGTAATAGGAGGTGAGTCTATTGCCATATACCGGGCACAATTTCGGCCTCCGTGCTATAATTGAGATTTTTTTAAAACCCAGTAAATCTTTGCCCGACCCGGGAATTGAACCTGAGACCCCTTGCCCGGCAGTCGCAATTACGACCACTCAGCCAACGAAACAAGAATTTAAATATAAATCCGAATAATATGCCAAAGCTAACATGTATCCATGTTTCTAGCAGTAGTGTGGCATGTAACTTGAATAGTATCGGTATAAAGCCTCCAACTTAGTTGTGTCTACAACTATGTTCGAGGCTTTCCATCGCCTAGTTTTCTCCGGATTTCCGAACAATTTAACTTCTAACTGACGAATAGGTCAATTTCAATGGAATACAACGGTGCACCTACCCTATTTTGCAAGGAATTTGCGACATAAGTTGTATTTTCTTGGCGTAAATACGTTATCGTAAAAAGTGGCATAATGTTTTCTTTTTACTCTAGAATAATTTACTTACACTAATTTTATCTGAAGAATATGTAAAGCTGAAGAGTTTTTTGCATGAACACCCTAATTTCCAGATCAACTGTTTCGATTTTAATAATATTCTTTTTGGATAATGCATTTATCTATAAAACATCATGACCAATAGGAACGACACAGCGAGAATATACCTATATAGTTATTACTTTTGTTTGAAGTCATACTATCATCACCTTTATCCACACATACCGGCTAAGTAGGTGTACTTACTAATTAAACAATTATTTATACCTGTTTCGTAGATACTTGATAATTCAATGTATTTTTTATATCATCAGTGCTAATTTATGTTTAACTCATAAACTGTACCAAATTGGGACAATGAAAAATTTACGATGGTATTATCAAACTGGTGCTTGTTTGCCAGTTTTGAATTGAATGTCCAAACAATGATGATACACCTTTTATCAACTGCTGCATTTGTCTTAACTGTTGAGTAACACAAACAACTGGGTATGTATTTAGTTCATATTCCCCTGTAGGCATGAATTTGCAGTATGCGGTATGCAGCACCACCCTCCCACCCGCTAGTAAATGATCATGCAGCAGAGGTGCATGGAGGAGAGTGTATCATGGACTCTCGCAAAGTAACACCGGATTCTATTAACATAACATAACATAACATCACGCCTTTTTATCCCCGAAGGGGTAGGCAGAGGTGCACATTACGGCACTTAATGCCACTGTACAATGTAACACCCACTTTTTACTATTTATGTCATGAGTCCCATGTAATAGGGGATGAGCCTATTGCCATATACCGGGCACAATACCAGACTCCGTGCTACCACTGAGATTTTTTAAAAACCCAGTAATACTTTGCCCGACCCGGGAATCGAACCCGAGACCCCTTGCCCGGCAGTCGCACTTGCGACCACTCGGCCAAAGAGGCAGTCAGAGTCGGATTCTATTTTACATAGTTATTATGGATTAACTTCAAATTAGACAAACTGTTGATGGTAAAATCTCTGTGAATTAGTCCATGCCACTGACCTGCGTATTTCGTCAACTTGCTGTTCCTCTGGTAACTCTACGGCTGTAAACAGATGCATCTCTCCATCTCGGCCGAACACACCACCCGGGATTTTCCTAAACAAAAAGAAACATTTTCACCTGAACACTAGAATTAAAAATGCTATAGGGATATTGATAATATTATTTTATGAAATATGTACAAACTGTTGTTAGTACTCCAAATCCTGTTAAGGCAATGAGATTCTTCACTAGAGCTATTGGGTTTTGAATAATTTATTTATAATAAAGAATGTCCACTCTTTGGGTCAATGGAATTTCCAACAAGACATAAGTATACCTAGTATATAAAAGTTTAAATTACTAGTAACTATTTAATTACAGCCAGAATTGTTTTCCTAAAAAATGCAAATCAATAGACTGGAAACTTCTTACAAAAAAAAACAAAAATATTATTTCTGTTATCCTACAAAGAATCATTTCATAATTTATTAGCCAGCAGGGCCGCCAGCAAAACAACTATGTCTAGCATAATAAAAATGTCACTCTAAAAAGTGCATACAATGTCATATTACCCACTCAAGAATTTACTTTTGATTAGAATACAACCAAGTAGATCCCAAACATCGTTCATTATCAATATTCTGATAATGCAAACAAAAATATTTACCTTCAATCTTATCAGATTCTAGAAAACCAGTAATGTTTGTTTATTGTATTAGATACCAATAAATAATTTATAGCAAACACATAAGTAAAAGCAGGTTCATCAAGATATTTTAGAGACAGTCTTATTTGGACTTAATTTATTAATTCTTTGAGTACTTTTATTGAATGTGACGTACCTGAGGAACTTCTTGAGCACACTGGCAATAGTATATACAGAATAATTATCAACATTGACCAGACGACCTGTTTGAAGGAAATGTATAAGCTTCTTCATGGCACCCTGGTGACCAGGTGCGCGAAACACGTCCCGTCGCAACGGCGCTTCTTTGTTTAGCTTCAATATCAGCACCTGAACAACACCATACATTTTTTAACCCACGAAAAAATTCACGACACTGACCACTAACTTCGCAAACTGCACCGGCGAGACTACTTAATGTGTAGGTACTAATGAATCCAGGTAATCACGATAATCAACATAACAAAAATCTCAGGGGCGTTGTCAAAGTATTCAAACCACAGTGATACTAACAAGCAAGGGTCCAGGGATATCATCCTTGCAAACTTCATGTAGCGGAACACCGAACTTGACTTTTTCTAGTCTCCTCGGATATGGCAAAGAGTTGGGATGCCCACAAGACGTAACCACATTGCTCAATGTAGCAGCTCGTCGGTGCATCCTTCTAGCCCAATTACTCATTTTGCCTGTTTGCAGGACGTCAGGCTTTGGGCGATATTATGAAACAAATATCAACGCTAGGTACATTTTTTGCAGATGTGAACTGAACAATACTTATTATTGTAGGAATTAATATTATTTAAATTATTTCGGTAAACTCGGGTTCCTCGGTCCTCCGTTCGTTCGTTTGCCTGCCGTCGTACCACCGCACCGCACGCACGCACAAACACAGACGATAAATAATAACTAGTGTTGCCCATTGCTTAACTGCTAAAAACCGTTACTGAATCGAACAGAATCGATTTTTTTAATCGACTGCATTTAGGTAATCAATATGGAAATAATATAAAAAAATATTAAGATGTTGTATTTTAATACGTCTGATAATATTATAATTTTCTAAACTCTCCCAGCCTTTACAAGCTTTTTCTTTTAGTAACTGCTTAAAAAACTTGAGAGAAATGCTTTTCTATCAAAATTCAATTTCCGATTCGCAATGACCCTTGTAGACATAGCTCACAAGGAAGATGGATATACAATTCTCTAACAAGGTGTTGTCTTTCTTCAAAAGTCCCCTCCTTTGCTCTGCCCGGCGTTATATCATCAAGTGACTCAAGCAAGTTTCTAGCATGCATTCAGCACAATGGTGTGAACAAAGAAAGTGCCTACTCTCGATTCACTTACTCTCTTAATCCGATGGAGCAGGAACCAATATGACATAAGTAGTTACATAACCAACAAGGCCATTACATGCTTACGAAAGACCGGAGTGAAATATCGGCTATTCCTAGCTCCAGGTTGACCACTGAGGTTGACACATCATACAACAACATAAGTGGCCAATGCTGACCAAAGACCTCTTTTCGGTCGGAGAAGGTTTGAGCATTATTCACCACTCTTGCTCAATGTGGGTTGGCGATTTGAAAGTTGTACATTCCTAAGCATTTCAGATTATATTTTTTGATGAAATTGATTACAAGTATAAAATGTACAATTGTAAAAACTAATCTGATAATTTTTTCAATTTTATAGTACATATTACTCAAATTAAACAATATAACGTATTCATTAGTTTAACCTTTCGAAATTCTAAATCCATCTCCTGTTGATTCTACAAGTACTTGAGCGGTCATGAATGAAAAAGTTGATATCATTTGTTTATTGTTATTTTTATTATAAACAAATAAAATTTCAAAAAAGGTATTTTCTTAGAGCTATTGCTGCACTTCACCATTTTATTTAAGATTTTTAATTGTTTAATGGTATAAACAGTTAATATTTTCTATTAAGACGAGATTAACACATTTGTAGGTAAAAGCTTATCAATATGGCGGCACGGAAAACCTGGCTTCATGTCAAAATTGGTTTATGTTTGGACAAGTGTGGCTACAGTACAGGTAAAAGAACGAGATGCCATTATTAGGTTAGTACTTGACAGAAGAAGGACAAAGAATTATGGATATCATAATATGTACGTTTAACTACGAATTCATGTTCGGTCTGCTTATCTATGTAAGTCTGTGATCATGTGCAATGTCAAATTATTTTAGGTATATTATTAACAAAGATTCACTCAAGCACCGAGTATAAGTAAAATAATAACAAGTTGCTTCAGTTCTTGCATACATCGGTTTATTTAGATAAATGATTAGGATTCCGATTATTAACTTTAACACTTATCTAGTTAAGCAGCACTTACACCTCACTACAAAATCATTCCATTAAGTATACACTTTCCTGCACAAAAATAAAGTAAGCAAGCATTAAATAAAGTTTCGTACAGCAAAAGAGAATTACATATTGAAATTATATTTTCATGATACGCCAATTATTGAACATAAATGTTACTAGTGCAAAAAGCAAACGGAGTGGAGTACTGGAGTAGTTCAAATGAAAATAAAGAAATAAGTAGTGTTTCGAGTAGATTTTAAATAGTATCGAGATGATTTTTTTTATCGAGTTACTCTTAACTCGATAAAAAAAATCATTGTACAATACTGTACAAAAATCACAATACTGTAACCTGTAATGTTTATCTATTAGTCCGATAATATCAGTGTCATTAAGGAGGAAATATGGGGGTTACCTGAAAACTATTCTGGAAGATTAAAAAATCGGCAATTTTATAGGTTTTGATGTGATCTTTTCGATTTCCTTTTGCACCTTTGTATATGTGTCGCTCGCGACGCTATCATGAAAAAATGGCAGTCAAGTTTTACAGTTTTATAAAAATCTCTTTTCGTGTACATTACGAGAAAGCCGTTGAAAAAAATAAAAAAATTAAACTATTCACAATTTTCTACGATTTCTGTTTAGATAGCTTTTATGTAATGTATGTGTATCTTTTTAGGTATTTTTATAAAGGACTATATACTTCCGAGCGGTTTCACCAGCTTTATTCGGCGGCGGCGGCAGCGTAATGTTTTGTAACCTTTGGCCTTCCTCCTTAAATGGGCTAACAAAAATATTTTTTAAATCGGAATGGTAGTAGTGATAACAGTAGTGAACAAACAAACTCTTCAGCTTGATAACAGTATAAGATAAGACATATTTCGTATCTTAGGAACTAGTTGTTTTATTTTATATTATTTATACTCATTTATCTCATAGTAACTTTTACCTGGGACTGCCCAAACAGTACTGACTGCTGATACTCACTGTTCATCCTAATCCCACTTATAACTAATATAAAAGAATTTTCAGTATTTAAGTCCTCTTCCTATGATACGGTTTCTGGAAGGATTCGAACGTAAAGAGGTCCTCCTGTTCTAAAAATTCAGCCAAAGTCTGTCCCTGCTACGAATCAATAGGGAAAATGCAGTATTTTTATGTATGTTTTCATTAAAAAAAAATTCATATAAAATATGTAGCTCATGCATATTATTAAAATATTAAAACAATCTGTCATAAATTACAAAGGAGATCGGCAAACTTCCATAGTAAATCTGGTCCTCACAGAACCGAATTAAATTCTGTGAGTTCTCAAGTACTAATTAGTATTATCCCTGCGTAATTCATTTTTTGGTAGAACTCCGGAGATTCCAAATTTTCAGTTATTTGTGAAAAATCCGTCAGTCCTCCTTATATTTTTACTTGCTCTTATTACAGATTTATTAAGAATGCTATTAACCTCTATGGATAAGTCTACAAAAAAAAGATATTTTCTTTCTGAACTTACTTGTCAAAAAACGTCAGATGACATAAAAATCTATACTAATGTTGTTGTGTAGGTTTGTTTATCCATCTTTTACGGCCAAACGAAGCAAGAAATTTATGTGGATTTTTAAAGTATGTAGTTGAAAAAATGGATGGATGAAACAATAACGTAAAATGTAAACTTTTTATCTCTTTTTAACCCCCCATTATGGGAAATGGGGGTGGAAGTTTGTATGGAGGATTTCGTAATTTTATTAATAATCATGCATATTGTATTTGTAAACTTGCCACCAACCCCTTAAAAGAGCGCGAACGAAACCGTGGACAGAAGCTAGTCCATGAATAAAATGAAATTCATGTATACCGTAGGAATTTAGTCCCTTTCATTTCTACACTAGAAAACTCTGGACTATCGACAAAAAAGTTACTACCATGTCGACACTAACTCTTGGTAAATTCCTGGAGTCTATCAGCCCAACTTCAATTTTTATTAGAAACTTAAATAATTTTACACGCAAAGTTTAACTCAAAAAAGTTGATGTGACACTTTTGTCAACATCACTCTAAGCGCTGATGGTGTATTTGAAATGCGTTTCGTTTTACGTAACATTAATTCGTAATTTTTCTTTTATTATTTTAATATTAATATTTTAATCATAAAATTTTCATAAATATCATATTTGCATCTTCCCTATTGCCTATATCCAAATTATCCCACATTCAGCTCATTACCACGGTTAAATCCCCCGCTTATCAACATTGAACTAGGTTTTTGTGATATATATGGCCCTACATGATGATCTTCAGAGTGAATAGATATCTGTTTGTCGTTTTGTAATGGCCCCGCTTCGAAAAATGACAAGAACCTGTCACTGTATGTGTTACATTGTTTAGACGCTATTGACATACGGTGAACGAAAACATCGCAAGGGAAACCTGAACTCATAATTTTTATTTAGGTATACATAAGTCTAATTAGTGCATTGGTGGGATGATTGGGATGAGCTCCGGCACGATTTCATGTCGGTGGAATGGCAGCAACGACTGTCGCAACCAAGGGCTGGGCTCGCTGTTATTGCAGCGGTAAGTCCCCTCTTTGAGGAGTAGATTGGAAGACGCTAAGGCGTCCTTACCTACCGCCTGATGCAGGTGCTTACCGAACACTGAAGTTTCGGTAGGTTGTTGTTACTGATTGGACGGGAGGAAACGCCCGGGTGTTATCACTGAGAAGACCGCCCGGAGGACACGGTGGAACATATGGTGGCGGTGTGCCTTGCTTGGGCTGAGCACCGCCGTGTTCTCAGGAATGTGAATGTGACGGCAACCTGTCGCGTCCGGTTCTGGTTCAGACCATGGTACGGAGCGAGAGGGACTGTGATGCCGTCTCTTCCTTTTACGAAGCAGTCATGCTAGCTAAGGAGAAGGCGGGGCGCGCGAGGGCAGGAAAGTCCCCATCCGTTGTGGAGACACTCCGGACGTTGGGGATCGCGAGACGATATCTGGCCACCGTAAGCACGGGCATGCGGGCGGCGAGCATGGGTAACTCGCCGTCCGCTGAAAAAACGATCTAAGTTTGAAATTGTTGTTGTTCAAACTTTCTCAGAAGAAGATCTTCTTCTGCGAGAAGATGCCTTTGTTTTGTTTAGAAACGGCACGGAATAAAAACAGTGGGTACCAGTGGATATGGCAAGTAGATAAAATGCCACCAGTCCCCAGCTAGAAGTCCCCGTTCAGAGAGGTTTTCATCTGGACCGCTCTGTTTTTATTGCGAATTGGGGGCCTTTTCTTAAATAGGATAATACTCTCGGCGGTGCCCGGCGGGCCTATCCAATGAATTTATTCAGGCTCCGAATAGTACCTACCTATTATTGTCTTATTATCCGATATCTTGCTTTTAATCGGCAAAAAAATTGATGATTTAAATTTTGTAGGCTAAATAAAATGTATTGATCGCGTACTTAATAAAATTTTGAATTAAAATGGACTTACATAAATAAATCGATATTTCGTTAAATCGATATCTCGCTTTTACGTTTCGCTCTCCTCTAGTCAGCTAAGTTTTGTTTGACAAGCTACCGTTTACCGTGCCGTATCACGTTGTCGTTTCGAAGGAAGAAACAACGCGGTTACGATCGTTGTTTTGAAAAACTTAAAGAAGAAAATATTCTTCATATAAGTAATATTCTTTCGTTTACGGCTTATGTATTAGTATAGTTCAGAGACGAAGAAAAGTTATCGAATAGTAGGTATTTAGATTTTCAAGTTGAAATTAAAATGGCTGATTTTGAAGACGACTGGAATGAAGATCCGCCGACAAATTTTGCTCCAACATTTCAATCAAATGCAGCGGGAGCAGCACCCCCTACTCGACAATATCGAGGTAGAACTTTCCGAGGGAGTAACCGAAACTCGAATAATGATTCAAATTGGAGGGAACGTGGGAATACTAGCAACAGCAGTGGCAGTGGTGATTATCGCCGCAACTACGATGGTGCAGGCGGACGGCGTGACTTTCAACGAGAATCTGGTAATAAGAAAGTAATTTATGTTCCGTCTAACAAAGTAGGGCGTATCATAGGCAAAGGAGGAATCAAAATAAAAGATCTTCAATACGAATCCGAAGCCCGAATCAAAATAGGAGATTCGAATGGCAATGAAACTGATGTCACTCTCACCGGCACGGATGATGCTATATCCAAGGCTCAACAAATGATAGAAAAACTAATTGAAGACTTCAAACCTCCAGAAAAGGAAGAACACGATAACAAAGAAGAATGTGGAACTCGCACGAAAGAGTTTTTTAAAATAAACGAGAATGGAGATCAAGTCATTGACTGGGATAAGCTTAATGCTTATCATAATCAGGTGCAACAAAGCCGTTACGAAAAGTTACCCCCCATAATTAAAGATTTTTATAAAGAAGATCCTGCAATAGCAGCTATGTCAGATGATGAGGTAAAACGATGGCGATTAGAAAATTATGATATTCAGGTTAAAAGAACGTTTGAAGACAAGCCTGGGTTGCGCAAAATTCCCAACCCAGTCCTTACTTTTGAACAAGCATTTCAACATTACCCTGATATCTTGACTGAGATATACAAACAGGATTTTAAGACTCCCTCACCAATACAAAGCCAAGCTTGGCCCATTCTTCTGAGTGGTGAAGATATGATAGGTATCGCACAGACTGGTACGGGGAAAACATTGGCTTTCCTTTTGCCAGCCTTAATTCACATTGATGGTCAAACAGTGCCAAGAGAAGAAAGAGAAGGTCCTACAGTTTTAATTTTGGCTCCCACCCGAGAGTTAGCCATACAGATTGACAAAGAAGTATCAAAGTACCAGTATAAAGGTATTAAGTCGGTATGTTTGTATGGAGGAGGTGACCGTAAAGAACAAATTAAAGTTGTGGCCAAAGGTGTGGACATTGTTATAGCTACACCTGGTAGACTTAATGACTTAGTATTGGCTCGCCATTTAAATGTTATTAATTTCTCATACATTGTGTTGGATGAAGCTGATCGCATGTTGGACATGGGTTTTGAACCACAAATAAAGAAATCATTATTTGATGTTAGACCTGATCGCCAGACAGTGATGACCTCAGCCACATGGCCGCCCGGGGTAAGACGACTCGCCGAATCATACATGAAAGATCCCATACAAGTGAATGTTGGATCTTTAGATCTCGCTGCTGTTCACACCGTAACACAAAAAATTTTATTTGTTGAGGAAGACGATAAAGAACCTGCCTTGTTTGAATTCTTGAATAACATGGATCCAAATGATAAAGTTATTATATTTTGTGGAAAAAAAGCCACAGCTATACATATATCTACAGAACTATGCATTAAAGGCATAGAATGTCAATCGTTGCATGGTGATAGAGATCAAACCGACCGGGAGGCAGCATTGAATGACATGGTCGAGGGATCTGTTAATATTTTAGTGGCAACAGATGTGGCGTCGAGAGGTATAGATATAAAAGACCTCACGCATGTTATCAACTTAGACTTTCCGCGCCATATTGAAGAATATGTGCACAGAGTCGGTAGGACCGGCCGCGCGGGGAAAACTGGTATTTCCCTGACTTTTGTAACTAGACAAGATTGGGGAAGTGCAAAGGAACTTATTAAAATCCTCGAAGAAGCAAATCAGGAAGTTCCTGATGAGTTGCAGCAAATGGCGTCAAGGTTTGAAGCCATGAAAATACGTAGAGACAAAGAGAGAGCTGAAGGTTCTGGTCGCGGTCGTGGAGGCAGAGGCGGAGGTGGTTCCTATGGCCGGGGCAGAAGAGACCGCTGGTAATTTATTGTGCTCATTCATTATTATATCTCATATTCACCAAGAGGTGTTTGAGTCATGGTGTCATGTTGGGTATCATATTTATTTAGAATTTAGACTTTGAACTATAGATTTATTTATTGTGTGATTCCAAAGGAGTCGTAGAAGAACATAACAAAGCTGTATGCTTCTTATTCTGTTTTTGTTGTTTTTCATTAGAAAGTGTGTTTGCTAATGATCTCCATTAATTATAATTATGTTTATCTACATTTTGTAAGAGGCACAGGTCAGTCTGGCCTTTGTATCAGTATTAATTAAAGTAAACAGCCTGCCCCTGAATTGGATAAAAGATATTATTTTAAGTGTATTTACATTTTGCTTATACTTTGTGCTATGTGTGTAATGAGAGCATTTATTGTCTTGTACAAAGTATAAGACAAGAACTATTAGGTGTACCTAATTAAGACTATGAAACGATATGTGTCTAGACTTAAGTTTTAAGGCCCTATGCTGTGATAGAAAGTGAATATATTTATCTCACGGTCTATATATGTAATCGTAGGTTGTAGTACTTTGTTACTTACTAATGTTATTTCTAGCTAAGGAGTGAAATTCCTTGATGTTCCATGTGTAACCAGTCTTACAAGTAAATGTAAGCAACGGTATGAGGTGTATTGTTAGTACCTATATGTGTTTTGCCATCTCTTATTAAAACTTTTTTGTGATCAATGTGTGTTTTATTAAAGGAATACCTATATGGTTTTACTATAGTTAGGTACGTACTATACCCATTACGTGAAGGATGGTGGCTAACTTAGATTGAATATACTGTGAGAATTTACCTAGATTCAAGATTCATTTATTCATTGTCCTAGAGACTCATCAGGATATAATATATATATATACCTACATCATGAAGGTAGTAGCACCTCATCTCTTTTGTTAAGCCCCACACTAGGCTTTTCTCCTGTCGTGGGGTTACTGTCGCGTTTACAAACATACAAGTTCACATAGGTACACATGACGCCCAGATCCGGTATAATTTGTGGATCACACATCACATCTTTTAAGTGTGGGAGAGCCATGCTTCGGTGGGAGCCAGACGAATGGGCTGGACCGGTTCAACGGGAGTGATGCCTCGACCTTACATAAAATCGACCTGAAACAACGCTTGCGTGTTGTGTTTCGTCATGTGAGTGAGGTTCCCGGAATCCCAGTATTCCTATTCCTCACAAAGCTGGTAACGCCTCTATTGCTTACCATCAGGTGATCCATCTGCTTGGCTTAACCCATAAACCAAAAAAAAAAAGATGAAAGTTGTCTAATGAATAATTTTAAGAATGTGTCCATTATCACGTTTCTTAATATCTCTAAGGGTAAGATGTCTTCTTTGTTCATGTGTGCTTTGTAAGTACATACCTAGCACCAATAATGACAACTTTTCACTAAGTATACTAATTTGAAAGATTTTGTTCCCTTTTAGGTCTTCTCACTCTCACTAAGTCGGTGTTGTCGAGAAGCTGGATAGCTCGTCGTTTACGTAGGTAATGATGATGAAGTCTTTGTTCCTGATCTTTAGGGTTTTATTTATATACCTCCACATTAAGGTCCCTCACAAGATGGTCGTCAGAGTAGTAAATACCTAGGTAGGTTAGTTTGTATAGAAGTATTATTAAACTGTCAAATACCAAGCGGTCACCGGTGACCGCAACCTATTGTTCTATAATTGTGTCTGCAAAACCGGTACTCGACGAGTTAACAGACTTCCCAAAAAGGAAGAGGTTCTCAATTAAGCCAGTATCTTTCTTTTTTCTTAATACATAGACCATAACACTACTGGAGTAATGTAACAGTGGTGTTTTAAACAATGTGTTGGATAAATAAGTAATAACTATGAATAAAAGTATTAGTTAGATAATATGCATATATTTCGAGTTCACAATATTTAGACACAACATCGTCAAGCACAAAGATCAGGAAATGTACGATTTTCATAAATTTATTCACTACAGCAGAGTCGATTTTGTTCGTTTCGAACGTAACACTTAAATCATTAAATATGAGTTTCTTAATACTATGAGTGCTTCACTAACGATTCGTGCTGTAAACAATCGGAGAACATGATTTTATAATATATGAATATTCTCAACACTCGAGTCCCGGGTGTTCCGGCAACGGACCTGAATTGAATATAACTGTTGACTGACACAACAGCGCAAATAAATAATATTAGCAAGTTATTACTATAGGACTATACATCAACTTAGTATACGCAAATATCATGTTTGATGAACATTACATGAGGTAATGTTGATGCGTCTATTAAACAATTTCTAACCGTTTCATTTCTTTGTGCAGTTCAAAACCCATTTTGGCTGGAGAACGAGTGACGATAACGTTAGCTTTTTCTAATGCCTTGATTTTGTCCAGGGCACCTCCTTTTCCACCTGAAATGATGGCACCAGCGTGTCCCATCCGCCTGCCGGGCGGGGCTGTCACACCTGCGATGAAAGCTACCACCGGTTTTGCCTTCTGGCCCTGAAATTATATGAAATAAATATTATTATTAAAGATAATAACTACCTAGATGATGTTTATGAAATCTATATATCTAGGTATATATATGATAAAATCGTATGAAAGTCGAACTGTACATTGAATATTTTTTTTAAGAATACTTGGGACATGATCTACAATTGATATCGAAGTTAAAAATATAGTATTTAAAATGTTTGTCTGTTTGTCTGTATGCATGTCCAGGTTAAATTCAACAGCATTCAAATTATGCATGAATATTACCTACTTACAGGTCGGGTCAACATATACACTACATATTATCATACTATCATCTACTGTGAAGAACTATCCAAAGTAACTATTCCACGCGGACGAAGTCGCGGACACAGCTAGTACTATATATATTTTCATAAATATAATGAATAATGACTAGTAGCGTAGTGATAAAGTGTGAATTGGTAATAATAAACCTGCGATACCTACTCGTAGGAATGCAGCTAGGTCAAATTTCAATATGTATAAACTAGTATTATTACAATATTATCATCACAACTTGTTGATCAAAACATCACGTTAGGTAACGATTGATAGTCAATTTATTGTGAAAGGCTATTGACTAAAAATCATTTTATGATCAAAAGGACCCGAGCAGTGGGTGAATGGACGCACGGGAGTTGCTAACTAGATAATAACAGTGTTGTAAGTTTTGGGAGCACTTCAATTCCAGACTTTACCTCTAAGTAGAGTATTACATACATAACATCACGCCTTTTATCCCCGTAGGAGTAGGCAGAGGTGCACATTACGGCACTTATAGCCACTACAATGTAACACCCACTTTTCACTATTTATGTTATGAGGCCCATGTAATTGGGGGTGAGTCTATTGCCATATACATTGCCAAGTAGAGTATTATGTGAAGAAAAATAGGTAAATAATAGGTAGGTAAATGATGAAGATGACTCCGTTTTGTTTCGACAATTTTTGATTAGAAAAAGGAAAACATCTATACACTTAGTTGCTATAAACTCTTTGATTTTGTAATCATAATTAAACACTAAGCAGTATGCTAAGGGATCATTAAAGGTACATTGGTTATATGGCCATAGTCCATACAAAATTGACCACACCAAACAACACATTTCTACAGTATAATAATAACAAAATATGTACATATTTATACGACAACATATTTAATACTAGTTGCTGTCGCGAGCTTTCACCCGTTCTGCTCGGCTCCTATTAATCGTAGCGTGACGGTTTATAGCCTATAGCATTCTTAAATAAATGGATTATTCTATACAAAAACGATTATTTATTTCGATCCAGTAGTTCTGCAGATTAACGCGTTCGAACAAACAAACTCTTCAGCGTTATATAGTTAAAAAAGTACAAGAAAGATATAAGATAAGATATATGTATGCCCATTTTAACTTTTAAGCAAACAAATGATGTAATTATACGTCATGGTGGTCGTGACTCGATAAAAACAGTGCAAATAATACCTGCCTACAAGAGGCTAGTACAGAAATATCATTTTCTGTGATACGATAAGCTTTACTTAAACGCGATAAGGTTGTCATTGTATTCAGTATTAATTCAATCATGTCTTTATGACCTTTTTATGCACAGACAACGGACTACTAACCTATCCATTATTTCAGAATGAAACTGCAACCGTATCCCTTCGTAATTAAGTCGCAAATCTATTGAAGAAAGATAAATTAGGTAATTTGAGGTGCTACCTCTACAATACAAGAATTTCCATAGCATGACGTCACTGAAAAATAATGAAAAGGTATGCTACTAAAACTTGAGTCGAATTTGCACATTTACATAAATACATACCATCACAATGTCAGTTAGGAATGAACGACAATTTGTTCTTCATTAACTTCAATAAATCATACAACAAAAATACCTAAGAAAAGACAAAAGATAGTAAAAAGATAATTTTGTGTCCATGATACCGAGTTCTGAATGACAAAATGAAGTTGATAAAAGACATAAATAATGCTTTTATAAACTACGTAATTGATTCCCTTCTTTTTTTGAAGTCGGTAATTAACACATTGAATGCCAACTACGGATAGATACGTAGGACTTTTATACGAGTATATACGCGGGGACGAGGGGGATTGACGGGTGCGGGGTGGGCAAGTGCCTAGGGTGCCAAATCTACGTATTTATACGTATACCGGCAGCTTTTGTTTTCGCTGACGCCATATATACGTCATTTATCCGTAAACAGACAAATGTATTGTGGCAACCAACTTTGGCCGTACAGCCAATTTTGGCATTCAATGTGTTAAACTGTCAAACACCAAGCGGTCACCGGTGACCGCAACCTATTGTTCTATAATTGTGTCTACAAAACCGGTATTCGACGAGAATACCCAAAACCTGAAAGGCTACTCAATTTTAAGTGACGCTTAAGTATAGTTATGTCACTACAAATTCTTTGAACCTAAAATGACAGAAATGGCACGATATTTAAGTACAACTTATAACTGATTACCATTTTAGTATTCGGGTGCCAAGTGTGTGCCGTCTCCTAAGTGTACCACTTTTCTAAAAACCTTTCTAAAATCAGCCAATCGAGAGATAATAGCGCACGAACATACATAGAGATCAAGCAGAGAACCTCCTTTTTTAATTCAGTTAAAAATACTCACAGTGTTGTTTTGAATGAGGAAATCAGCTGCCAGCTCCTCGGCATTGCCACCAATTTCTCCAATGAGCACTATACCCTTTGTCGCGGGATCCTTCAAGAAGAGATCTAGGCAGTCAATGAAGTTGGTGCCATTGAACGGATCTCCTCCAATACCGACGCACAGTGTCTGGCCCAAACCATGCTGGAACATTATAATGCTGGTGTCAATTTCTAACTATTTCTTATAGGCTAACCAAAATAATATAAATATAATAAAATAGCGGCGGCGGTTTTTTACAGCGAAACATTTAATTTTAATAAAAAATATATATTGAAATATTTTGTTGACTTACAAAAATGTGTTATGATTTAGGTAATTGAAATAAATTATTTGAGATTGAATATAGGAAAATAATATTGTACCTTGTACCTATACCCTGAATATGTTAATTTCAAGGCTCAACAATAATTCAAATAGCATTCAAATGAGTATAAAATATGGTATTAATGTAATGTGCGTAAGTTTCCGAAGGCTGTGTTTGTTGTAATGAAATAAACAATAAAATTATATTCGGACGTAAAATGCTCCTTCTGTTTTTCTCTTTTAGATTTTCAACTTTATTGTTTAGATTTCAAGTCACATTTTTATGTACTTTTCACTTGTGAACTGATTAAAACATAGATTGCGTGCTCACCACAGTAGTTTGGTGGACCGCCTCATAAGTGAGGGTGCCAGAACGGGAGACCACACCAATGCACCCAGGTTTGTGGATGGAAGCTGGCATGATACCAATCTTACACCCTGAAGGTGGAGCGATGATACCTGGACAGTTAGGTCCCAACAGACGGGACTTGCTCTGACGCAGCAAAGCATGTTTTACACGAACCATGTCCTGGAATATTCAAAATAAAATATATGCAGTGAATGCCTCATCAACTTAAATAAAGTTAGAAATATCCGAAAAAATTTAATGTACATATTTCAGAAGTCACATTTCTTGAGTATGATCCTGGTTTGGTTAATTTTAAGTAGTTTCTAATTATGGAAAATATTATTTAAAACTCTTTATACAGATGGTGTTCTATTGTCAGGCTTCTTTTTAAAGTACAGTCAGGGAGGCAACGCCGTCAATATCACGACGACGTCATGAACCTTGAAAATATATAAAAACAGTTAAAAAAAACTAAGCTTAGTCAATATTTTCAAACAATTTACATAATCTTCAACCAAAAGATGTCTACTAATGAACAAAAACCTCCTTCTTAGCCCTCTAAGCCAAATGACGATTGAGGGACAATTTACAACAAAACAAACAAACAAGTATAATTATTTCCATTTTGTTCACATATACTTGATCTATTATTTATAGAATTGGGCCTCCCGAACCTCTGCTTGGTGTTTTTCATCAAATTTTCATATTTATGTACTATTTAGGGTTTGTGATTTTAACTAGTATAACAGCAGTTATTTTCTAAGAGATTCCACATCATTAAAAGAGTATATAATAAGCAAAAGTACTTACATGCTGAGGGATACCCTCTGTGATGCAGACAATGAGTGGCACTTCAGCCTCAATAGCTTCAAGTATGGCCGCCGCAGCTCCTGCAGGGGGCACATAGATTGTACTAGCGGTCGCACCAGTTGCTTTCATTGCATCTTTCACTGTAGCAAATACTGGTTTTCCGAGGTGATCTTTGCCTGCCTTCTTTGGGGACACTCCTCCCACAATATTAGTGCCATAGTCCATAGCCTGCTGAGCATGGAATGTACCCTGCTTTCCTGTGAATCCTTGAATAATGACTTTTGTGTCTTTGTTGAGGCCAAGGTTGACATTGGTACAGGCATAATCATTTGATGCATATCTGACACAAGCCAGTTTGACTGCATCTGGAACAAATAAAATTTAGGTAACAGGTTATTTTTTTTATGTTGTTGTCTTTTGTAGCCTGACATGGCTGGGTATGTACTTAATTAAACACTTTAACAGTGTATATTTTATGTGTGCAAGTTGAATGCAATATATTGTGTTCCATGTTTATAAATTAGCTAATTACATTATTTCCTTATGAATACTATACAATAAAATATAATAGAGAGAATTTACTGTGTAACAATTTAATGTGCAATGGTATTACTCCTTCATCTGCACAACTTGTGCAAAATATCATTGTTGTGTTGAAACAATTACATTTTGTGTATCATATATTTTACAAACAGCAATTAGTAGCAATATAAGTTTTACATAATATGGGTGGGGCTAGGAAAGTTTTTGACAGTTGTGATAAACAACACTATCTGTAAAATTATATACTAACTTGAAAGTACCAAGCAAGATAAAATAAGTATCATACAACAATTCTTTATTTATGTATATCTTCAGTCTACAGTATTAAACAAATTTTTAATAAATAATACCAATATGGAACTAATTTTATATTTTTAATATTTATTCCATAGCATTTGTATGAAAATGATTTAATTAAAATTTATTAATATGTGGAGCATGACACATCCCTTTCAGGCTTATTAGATTCTTATAAGTTTAAGTTGATGTTTCGGAATTCGGAATTTAAATAAAATAATAGATAAGCTACTAATAAACAAACAGACAATAGGCTCGCAATCTACTCTATATTGTGGGTCAATGAATGACCAAAGGTCAAATGTATTGACCCTTTGTTATATTGTCTGAAACTGATGCAGTTGTTTAAAGGATGGATCTACATTCTCATTATCGTGAATTTTACATTTATATAACAACAAGACATTTGCCCAAATTATCACAGCCGCGACATTGATAGTATTTTTAGATGAAGGTCTTGGTTAGATAGGTATATTGGACTTAATGACTACGGCATTGAAAGTTCAATGATTGGCTTAATAAAATGATCACTACATATAACAGTATTACATCTAGTTTCTCCTTAATAATTCTAGACAGTGCCCAACTAAATTACAAGGTTATCATGGCAGGTTCATAGTCAAAAATTAATGTGACGTACGGAACTTTCATTGAACATGATGTCGATGTTGAGATCGTGAAATCATATGATAAATATAACATTGTTTCTAACCTTTAAACCGGGATAAATTCCTGATGGGAACAGCCATTTTACACCGGAAAATATGTATATAAAAATGGGAAAGAAGTCCAAAATCTAAAAATTTATCTAATAAGAATGACACTGACAGGAGAGTGGCTGGCTCTCCGATAAATTTTAACCACTAACCATTACGTAACTGACAATGACACAAGATTGGATGTGTTGCAATTTTAATAAAAATCTATTGATAGCCATCAACTATGAATATATAATCGACTAAAAGTACTGACTAAAAACAATTTTCACGAATGGTAACAATGGTCAGGTCATTTCTGTGTGTTATGACGTGTAATTTGCTTTTTGTTTTGTGCGAGTTAACAATAAAAGTAAAACCAAAATCGTTTTAAATTTAATCGTCATTTGATTTAAATCAGTGTAAATAGGCGTACATTATATTATGAATTAATGTAACCTTTGTGTGTATACGGTGAACAAAATTGTATTCTAAGTCCCGGCTTATAGTTTGTTGTATTTTTTAATAAATTTTACTGAACATTACATAAAATGTGTGGGTCTGATAAGAAACTTGGAGAAATTAGAGCTCTTATATTAGTAGGAGGTTATGGGACTCGGTTAAGGCCTCTGACATTGAGCAGACCAAAACCCCTAGTTGAGTTTGCTAATAAACCGATTCTACTTCATCAAATCGAGGCTTTGGTTGAAGCAGGAGTCACACAGGTACACATAGTAACTCAGTTATTATATTATAAAATTGTGTTCCATACACTTCATGCATATTGATCCGACATAATCTTTTATGATAAATTTTTTTCCTCAGGTGATATTGGCTGTTTCGTATAGGGCGGAAGATATGGAAAAGGAACTGACAGAACAAGTTTCTAAACTTGGTGTTTCTCTCACATTCTCCCATGAAACTGAACCGTTGGGCACTGCTGGGCCCCTTGCATTAGCCCGGGAACTACTGAGTGCAAGCCCTGAGCCATTCTTTGTGTTGAATTCTGATGTGATATGTGACTTCCCATTCAAAGAACTTGCCAAATTTCACAGAAGCCATGGAAAGGTATTAATTAGTAAATTTAATTCATGCTATGAGCTAATAACAGTGAATCATGAGTTCATTAATGAAATTCCCAATAATATAACAAGTTGAAATATTTAAAACAAGGAAATTGTACAAGTTTTCCTCATCATGCACATACTTGCTGCTTTTAATTATACTGAACACAGTTGCTAACTTGAATTTACAATAGAAAATAGAAAACTTCATGTAATGACATAATATATTATATAGTAAATCATAGCTTTCAGCCATTCATTACACATATAATTAAAATCCTACATAAGTAATTCCTACATTATTCCGAGAATATTACAGATAAATATAAATTGATAAATGTACTTATAATGAAAATAACAATATTACATTTTCCTAGATACTTATCCGGTTTAATAATGTGAAGTGTTACTTATCTTGTCTGTAGAAGTTTATTACTGTATAGACAACAGCCTGCATTATGTGATAACAAACTATTAACACTAGCTCGTTTGCTTTTGTACTGTAGTAAATTGTTGATGAATGACCCTGATATCACTACAATTTTATCTAGGTATTCATAATATGGAACACAATATTATTATATGAAATAGGTTTCATTTTACTACAGAAGCATATTATTCAACACATCATTATACTGGATTTTCCGCAAAGCAACAACCAGTACTGTACTTGCAAGGGGTATTGGTTAAATGTACTTTACAGACACTCGCATTTCTGAATGTATTTATTTAATAATGGATTAATTTGAAATAATAATAAACGGAACCAATTTCTATTTGAGTTGTTGAGTTTATATGTATGCAATGTGTAGTTATATTATCTAATATAAATTTTTTAAATGACATTTTCAATTTTAGGAGGGCACTATAGTTGTAACAAAAGTTGAAGAACCATCAAAATATGGAGTTGTTGTTTACAAAGAAAATGGTCAGATTGAAAGTTTTGTTGAAAAACCACAAGAGTTTATATCAAATAAGATTAACGCTGGTAAGTTGGCAATTGAAAATGAACCTTTAGATTAAATTTTACAGATTGTAGATTCCTTGTAATAACAAATATGGTTTTTTTAGGAATGTACATTTTGAACCCTTCGGTATTAAGTAGAATAGAATTGAGACCAATGTCTATTGAAAAGGAAGTGTTTCCGTTCATGGCAACTGATGGCCAGCTGTTTGCAATGGAACTACAAGGCTTCTGGATGGACGTAGGACAACCCAAAGACTTTTTAACAGGTATGGCAGACCTTGATTTACTCTATTATATTTCTTTGATATAGGCACTACTATAGTTGGACTCTGTTTTGCTGTTGGATTTTCTATTTGACCTTTGCTTGAAGTTTTAATATAATATTTCAATTCTAAAATGTGAACACAGAGTTTATTCATTCGTCACGTTTTTAAAACCAATTACAATAAAAATTATTCAGACCAATAAGCATTCAAATGCTACGATTTGATAATTTAATTGGAGTTTGGTTTGTAACCTTTATTCTCAAGTTTTATGACTAACGACTTTCTTGAATATATATTTCTATCAAACAAAAAGAAAAAGTCATATTGTCTATGATTGATTTGCTGTTATACCTAAATATACATATTTTTGTTTTGTAGATTAAGTTATGTTCTGACACAATCCCATGACAAATATATCTCGAGGCGGTAGGGAAACCTGAAAACACAACTATAATAGCCGGGACATTCATTAACCACGCTTAACTAAACATTTATATAAGGCTGTTTTTATATTTATTATTGATGATTGAATCTATTTTATTTTAGGCATGTGTTTGTACCTCACAAGCTTGCGGCAGAAGAACTCGAATAAGTTATATGATGGCACGGGTGTGGTCGGCAATGTTCTAATAGACCCTACAGCCACCATTGGTAAGGGTTGCAGAATAGGACCCAATGTCACTATCGGACCAGACGTCGTTATTGAAGACGGTAAGAATATTCATCCTTGATTTCAATAAAATGGAATAATAAAAGTATTTGAAGCACAAAAGTAAAAGTAAAAGTATTTGTAGTTTGTAAACAATAAAATATTGTAATTTTAAAAATTAATCGCTAATATACTCTTAATACTGCATCATTGGCCCAGTGGTCGCAAGTGTGACTGCCGGGCAAGGGGCCTCGGGTTCTATTCCCAGGCCTGGCAATGTACTTGGCTTATTTTTAAATCTCGGTAGTAGCACGGAGTCTGGAAATGTGCCCGGTATATGGCAATAGGCTCACCCCCTATTACATGTGACTCATAACATAAATAGTGAAAAGTGGGTGATAGACTGTACAGTGGCATTAAGTGCCGGAATGTGCACCTCCGCCTATCTCTTCGGGGATAAAAGCCGTGATGTTATATTATGTTATATTCTAAATGAACAGTGACTATTTATATTGTTTGTATTGTATTTTTTTAGTTTTGTATAAAGTAACTATTAAATTACCGGTTTCTAATTTTATGGCAGGGGTTTCTAATCCGCATACACGCTTAGTGATAAAAACGAACATATAGATACCTGGGAAGTCTCATTTCGAAACAAAACGATTAGCAAATATAAAGATAAGAGAAGAATGTTTTTATTGCATCCATGATAATTATATACGAGAACGAGAATTGTATACCTATTTTAACTTAAGTATACTATGTATTATCGTGTTTATGTATATGTCAATATAACTACCACGTAAATGCATGTCATTGGTTGACTCAGTGGGTATGGTTATGTACTCAACTGGAATTTAAATGGAGCGATAATATTTTAAATAATTTATGAATATAAAATTAGTCTACATGAACGTATATTGCTTGTGACATAAAGATATTCACACCGGATACTGAAAGGCTGACCAATTCTACAGCCATGTAAAATCTCTTAACAGGGGGCTTACTCTTAAATCCAATTCCGATCGATTGACATTGATATTGTGTTACTTGATCTTGATCTTGAATTACAACACTAGCGCCCATTGCATTCGTATTGCGTGGATATTGAATAAACTAAATGGTATTGAGTTTGACTAAATTCCGTACTCTAAATGCTATTTGAACAGCTACGATTGGGGTTGTATAAATTTGGCATTGAATAAGTATTGAGATTTTATTGCATTGAAATTGCATTGACATTGAGATTGGTTTCAAGAGCAAGCACCCAGGTGTCATTTGAGTTGCGTCGTTTTACTTTGTAAAGCGTACATATAAGAAGGACTCGTTAACTGACGGACTGACTGATAGACTATTATTTATTTTGTATTTGTTGACGTTTCAAAAGTACCAAATTATGGTTTAATTGAAATAAATGCTTTGACTTTTGACTTTTAAAAGGCGTTTCATATAAGCCACATATAGCAACAGCTGATAACTCAGCCATTATGTTATTGATGCAGATTAGCCGAACGTCCAATATATTATTATTATTATTAAATAAATATTATGAACTTATTGTTGTAATAGTAAAAAGTTTTAGCAGGAAGGAAGTAATTGCGCAATGTTTACTCTAACAATACTCATTGTATGCTTTGCTATACTCCGTTTAAAATGTATGTGACATTTATGGTGTTACGTACGATTCATATTACAGTTTTAAGCACTATTTTTTTCTTTAACACGATGTATGTCTTAAAAAAGGGATTAAAAGTAGCTTAATATTAAAACTGAGTGGATTCTCTAGAACCAAGAATCAACTGCAACCTTCCTTGTTAGGAAGGCTTCCTGCTTAATGTGTTCATTAAGCACAACATGTGATTTATAACATGTAAAGCTATGTTAAATTTGATGTTTCTCTTCCAGGCGCTTGCATCAAACGCAGCACAATACTTCGCGGTGCATGCGTCCGTCAACACGCCTGGCTTGACGGCTGCATCGTTGGCTGGCGCTCAGTTGTAGGCCGCTGGGTGCGAATGGAAAACTGCACGGTTCTCGGCGAAGATGTCATAGTTAAAGATGAGTTATATGTGAATGGAGGGCAAGTGTTGCCTCACAAATCCATCGCCCTCTCCGTACCAGAGCCACAAATCATCATGTAAAAGACTGAGTGGTAATATGCATAGTAGAAGCTAGTTCTTATCAATACATAGTATAAAACAAAGTCGCTTTCGCTGTATGTCCGTATGTATGCTTAGATCTTTAAAACTACGCAACGGACTTTGATGCGGTTTTTTTTAATAGTATATATGTATATGTATATACATATTGCACCCGTGCGGAGCCGGGGCGGGTCGCTAGTTATTATTATAGTACATTTTCCTGCTGAATTTGGCAGCCTAATGAACTTAACTATTTTTAGTTTAAGGGTGTGTGACAGAACGGTTTGCTTTGTCGCATACCTAGTCGGTTTTTACGCGCTCTGATACTGAGTATCCGGCTCCGGTAAATTGTTATTGGTACGTGTGTTCGATAAGAGGGACATTACGTCCATCCGGATGCCCAGCAATCACACTGCGTCATATTGCTTGCGTGAATAAGTAAAGCACTTATTATAATTATCATAGATATTCTTTAAAGATATTGTAATTTTTTTTATTTTCCTTTAATATATCTAACTAGTTATTATTAAAACAGCGTAATCCAATTGAAAAATACCAATTTACTGACATCAGTCATTTGTAAAATTGATAATTAATCTAACCGTCGTTGTAATATTTATGCTAATCGGTGATATCGATCTAAATCATAAATATGATTACATCCGTATGATAATAATTAATACATGGTTAATTTTATGTGATTTATAAATATATATATATATATAGACCCATATCTCTATTTGTTATAATATATCAATTATATTGATATATATTTCGACCTATGATTTAATAATCGAATGGAATCGAAACGTTGTTTAATATGTTCAGAATATTTATTTTTCCAATTATAACTTTTGTTTACGTAATTCTTCATGGGAACATTCCACATCTTTTCATGTTTTCCTTTATTTATTTGATTCACAAAACTACGATTCCAAATCCCTATGATTCCGAATTTTAATGAAAATGTACAATAAGTATCAGATTCATATTTGAGTAAACGCTATTTATAGAAGTGTATATAATTGAAAGCTGTACAATCTGTACATAGATATAGATGTAGCGGCACTTACACTCGCTACAAAATAATATAGTAAGAATTATTAGTACATGAAAATAATGACTTAACTATAACAGCGTACAATGTGGAAATGTACTGCCATTTTTACACCAAATCCTTTAGAATAAGAATTTATCGCCAGTGTAAACTATTTTTGAAGATAGATTAATATTAAACTCAGAATACCGTAATTGTATAACATAAATTGTAAAAATAAGGCAATATAAAAATATAAATTAAAATAGTTGTTGTGTTTTAATTACTTTACCGTCTATTGAGGAGGCATATTAAATACTACCTTCTCTCGCTCGGTTTCACCCGTTGCTCTGCTTGTATTGATCACTGCTTAATTTTTTATTTCCATTCTTGACTAATGCCCAAACCCAAAAATTGTTACCATACCAGTAGTTCTGAAGATGAGCGAGATAGTCTTCAACTTAAATATATTTTGAGTAAATGAAGTTCAGGTACTCCTCGTTTGCATACCAATATGTAGATAGTAGGACGTAAACCCCATTCGCTGATCGGTATGATGGATTGTATCAAAGTGCATCCTGCTCAGTGACTAGTGAGGTGATGTAGACTTGGATGATAATTACTATACTGTCCTATATATAATATACTTTTGACTGTCCTATTTCTGGAGCAGATCGTTGTGTAATCGGAAACACCTTTATTCATCAATGGACGGCAGCAGGTGTAACATGTCATAATGTCAGCTTAATACAGTTTTAGCTCTTATTGTACTTCTGCCCTGCTTACACCTCGAAAACCCTTTCTTTGCGTGGTGACCGGCGTTATGCCACGCAATGAGTATAACGTAGTCTTATAGTTTCGTAGACCCGTATAGGACTAGATCGAGGCATAAAACTGACCATAATATTATACCAAAATATTCTTTTATACGTTAATACGTGTAGAGGAATATTATGATAATCCATAATATTCCTTTGCATAAAATGTAACACTGTTCACTGCACTATAAGTAGCTTTATTGCACAAGGAAAAATCGATTAAATAATCGACTTCAATATTTAAAAATTAATCGACTAAACCATATCTATGGTGGGTGTATATTTATTCCATGGACGTATAATAATATGTCCATGATTTATTCAACAGTTTATCAAAATAAAACAACCGTAGACAGAGAAAATCTCTGTCTACGAAAACAACCCATGGATAATGGCAAATACTTGACAGAAAAGTTTGACACATGGCAAGTGATTGACAGTTGACACTGACAACTGACAGTTCGAATGTATATTTGCGCCAAAACGGTTTCTGTGTACAACAGAGATTTTGAGTCGATTACCTATTTTTAATGAAAATTGTTAAATTATTACAGAAATGTCGAAGCGCAATAGTACAGGTGCATCAAACACATTATTTAATTATTTCTCTAAAACACCTCCAGCTAATAAGAAAGTAAAATCAGAGTTAGAAGTCGACAAAAGTGCGAATGTAATTTCACCTGTGCAGAACAGCGAAAAAGAATCTAAAGCGGAAAGTAAGTTAGCCTATCGCAAACGATATTCTTTTATGTTGTGGTAAATGTTTAATTCATATTTTAGAGTATAAAGTGTACCTAATTGATGTATGTAAATACCTATTACCTTTGTTTTCGTAAGTCTGAGCCATATTTACGTAATAATTATAGATTAAAAAGATAATCTGTATGTTTGAGACCGATATTTCCAAATCCAGCAAAGGTTTGACTTGACTTATGTGTAGGTATTTCGTTGTTTTTTCAGTTGGTTAAACTGTTTAATATTAAAATCTGCTATAATAAAATGGTAATCTGATTACTACGCTTAATTCATTGCTAACTAAAATTTTACTTGCCAGTGGTATGTTAAAATAAATAAAATTGAATCTGTCTTAACTACAACAGCCTTTTAATTAAAAACAATGGTTACCTCTTACTTAAATGACTTAGAAAATACCGCAACCCTAGTAGTTTTAAGTCACAATGGGACTCTAGATATGAGCAGAATGTGCTTGTAGGAGCCAATGGTGGCGCGATGTTGCTGCATATATAATTTAGTATGTCTCATGATATTAGTCAACCATACTGTTACCAACATGTGTACTTTATACCTGACCTTGTCATTATGCAGAGAAAAAGCGAGAGAGACAAATTACTCCATCTCCTGAGGTGAAGCACAACAGTGACAGTGAAGATGAGGTTCCCATTGCTCCCACACGCAGAAAGAGGATCAGACTCAACCCAGTGGACTCTGATGACTCTGATGTTGAGAATAAAGGTGGGTGAAAGAAATTTATTACCTAAAATAATTGCCTTATCTTTAGACTAGCCGTGTGCTGCTCCACTACTGTACAGACTGTGGTCATAACTGTGATATAAGTTTATTTAATTCAATACCCGTTTATCACTAATGTTAATAAAATAAGGCATTCAATAATTTAATTCTTTAAGCCAAGGATATACTACACCAATGTCCTGCTACACGTGTCACCAGTCGCGGAGAACCTAACGGTAACTGGGGCTCCGGCTCGACGTGCAGGAGAAGGTACGGAGTGGTTTTTAGTCAGTAAGAGTTTGTCACTCCCTCCCGCCTCAGCCCGGCGGGAGCAGTCATTCGATGATTATCCGCCTTTAGAAAAAAAAAACAGGTGTCACCAGCGACATTGTTGGATTATGATTAACATGTCTGGCAGCATCAATGTTACTGAGAACATAAGTCGCGCGTTGTCATCGTATATGTCGGCCGACATCGGCTGGCTTCGTTTGCATGCTGGTGATACATATCTTGGAAGATTCGTCCCCTAGTGTATCCTTGGCTTTACTTGTTTTTAAGTTAACAAGTAATGATTTAAATTAAATAATGTATAAGTAATACAACTCTAGATATAGTTTAGACATGTTAATTAACAATAATAAACATTTAGCAGACAACAAAATGGATACAACAGAGGTTGAAAAGCCATCAATCGAGAAGAAACTGCAGGATAGTTTCAAGTATGAACCAAACCAATCTCCCAAGGCTAAGGTAGCGAGTAAAGTACCAAACAAACCAACATCTAGTACCAAGTCAGTATATTTCTCTTTTATACTATTATTTATTTTATTTTTTATTTTAAAGCTTCATGCACAAAATGTACATAAGGTGGACTTAATGCCGCAGGCATTTTCTCCCAGTCTTGTCAGTCAGTGACCTTTGACTTATAACTACATTTAGGCAGAAAGAAATGGAGCCCTCTATAACATAACATGACGCCTTTTATCCCCGAAGGGGAAGGCAGAGGTGCATATTAGTCACTTATTGCCACTGTACAATGTAACACCCCCTTTTCACTAGTTATGTTATGAGTCCCATGTAATAGGGGGTGCGCCTATTGCCATATACCGGGCCCAATTCCAGACTCCGTGCTAATACTGAGATTTTTTTACAAAACCTAGTAATACTTTGTACGACCCGGGAATCGAACCCGAGACCCCTTGCCCAGCAGTCGTACTTGCGACCACTCGGCCAACGAGGTAGTCAGTGGCACCTTAATTTAATATATTAGTATAATGTATGTAAAGTTCTGTTTTTACTAGAGATAAGTAGTTTAAAGTAAAACAGAGAATGGATTTATTATTACAAGCTAACTTATTGTAACCTATTTGGATTTTTACATTCTTTATCAAATGAAAATCATTTTTACTCTTACTTTTTAGTGAAAAGTGCTGTAATGTGCACCTCTGCTTGTCCCTTCGGGGATAAATAGCGTGATGTTATGTTTTTTTTCAAACTTATAGATCTTCAGCATCACCTCCCAAACCCTCAGAAGAGAAACCATTAGCTGCAGATGACGGCAACTGGGTACACTGCAAATTGGACTGGCTGAAACCTGAAAAGATCAAGGACGCTCAGAAAAGGAGACCGGATCATCCTGACTATGACCCCTCAACTTTATATGTGCCTCCTGAATTTTATAAGAGTCAAACCCCAGTAAGTATTGGGATATTAGTCAATATATTACTAATAATGAATAACTTATGTAACAAATGAAATCAATAAAGAAGAAAGACTGTTT